GCGCCATGGGGACGCTACTCAGGAGCCACTAAGGACAGGGCCTCTTCGGGGGAACGCATCGCGCTGGGAGTGGTGGGGTCGCATTTTCACCATATGACCTAACCGAGTGGACTGGGTGCGCCCGCGCGCGCGCGCGCGCGCGCGCGCGCGCGCGCGGGGGGTTCTTCGGACCCCTCATGCCCCGTAGAAGGAGGAAGAAGAAGAAGAAGAAGAAGAAGAAGAAGAAGAAGAAGAAGAAGAAGAAGAAGAAGAAGAAGAAGAAGAAGAGAGAATTATTGTCGACGTGGTCTATTTTACTACTGCCTCGTCATCCCTATCCCTTTGCATGATCCTCCTGCTCAGGGCCGTCAGGCTTGTTGCACGAGTCGGGAATGTTGGCATTACGATGCTGCCATGTATGCCGCCAATGTATGCCGTCTTGTCTGGGTTGCCATTGATGTGTTGCCGGTGGGTTCCCGTTCTGGAGCTGCCCAGACGCGTTGTTCCAGTTCCTTGGCAGACCTAGACTTCTGATGTTTTGTGTCGTTTGTCTGCTGCTGCCAATAGAGACCCTGCACTGTGGCTGCCATCTGACAAGCCGCGCCTAACGACAACCAAAGACGTGTCTGCTGGAATCTCTCCAAAGAGCCGGTCTTTCATGGGCAGTCCAGGAGTCTCCTACTGCAGTCGTGTTGCCTGCTTGCACACGGGGATTGCGTGGAGTCTGCCCTGCCTCAGGTCATAGTGGAGAACTCCGCGGAGGTGCCGTCGTCCGACTCCCCGTCACGGAAGGAACTTGAGCAGACGGCCTGTGCCGCTGCCTTACTAGCTGCGTCTTATGACCCCTCTTTAAATGGAGAGTGCAGGGAGGCTTCTCGTCTCTTCCACCATTTATGAGTTGCCACGTCCGATGAATAAGGCCGCTCATGACAGTCTGGAGCACACCGTAGTGCGCAGCTCAGGGGCTCCGGGACATGTCGACAAGCAGGGTTTGCACATGTTTGCACCCGGCCAAGGCAGTTGAGATGCCAACTTCCAGTGCCAATGAGCCCGTGAAGGAGTCGTCGGAGCCATTATTGGCCAGCGGCTTAGGGTTGTGCGAGATCCCGAAGCTTGGATTACTTCGGCACTTTGTTCAGTTTGGCACGGACGTGCTGCAAGCTGTTGAGAAAGCTCGAGCAGCGGCCCCGAACCCAGGAAACGACATGAGCACTTTTTGAGTCCTGATGGTCATCTCAGAAAGACTCATGTAACATGCTTTTCAGATGGCTGAGATAGTTCAGGTGGCGGAGCTGCAGCGACGTGCTGGCATCAACCACCCCGAGGTGACTCTCCCTCCTAGCCCCCCTCTGGGCGAAACCAGAAGAACCAGAATCTTGCAAGGCATCGCCCAGCCGGCCAAAACCATCGCAGGAGCAAGAGTTGTACACTGAGCCACCGTTGTACACTGAGCCGTGGTGCTTTGCAATACTTTTCTCGTCTGCACAACCTCCCTTCAACCTGAAGCTCATGAGGCCTGCAACGCCGCGGGCGAATGCGCCCTTCTGCGAGGAGCACAGGGAGTTTTAGCTTCCATCAGTTTCACATGATCGAGTTGTCTATTGGCGAAACATCTCCAATTCCCAAGCTGAGGTCACGACGCAGTTGGCTTGAACATCCTCCTTTCTCAGGACGCTTTATTTGCATGCAGCTGTTTTGTTTAAAGAATTTGTGTAGTCAGGACGGCTACACAGCCACTCGCAGCTGCGGCTGCAGGGAGTGCGCCAGCAAAGAGTTGTGCTGGAGAGTGGCACTGCTGATGCGCTCTTGTACACTTCTCGTGGAAGCTTCCTTGGTGTTGCGCTTTCGCCTGTGAAGCCAATTTGTGGGGCAAGCATTTTTAGAATCGACCGACCCGGCAGGTGTACAATGAAAAACTGACATCCTGCCAGCTTGCAGGGAAATCATGGGCTTTGTTGATATCTTTTGCTGCGCAGCGCCACAAACCATTTTAGATTCCCGACTCGTGTTTTTTCTTGTTTTCCCAAGCGAAGGCCGCAAAGTGGGTGTGATTCATTTTCATCGCAGTTGCCAATCGGGCTCAGACCGTGGAACATTCGCAGAAGCGCATTTGACATGGCCACCATCCCGAGCCATGTCGCCACAAAATCTTGAGATTCCAAGAGTAAGAATTCTCGGCAGTTGTTCCGCTATGCGGCTCAGTGAGGCGCAAATGCCCCGAGTACACCATTCGCGTTTCGCGTCGGACATCTGGCTTTCCCACCCCTGGAACATATGAAGCCCCATGCAAGAATAAGTTTTTCCTTGGGAGTTCGGGGTTGGAACATCGATTCACTACTTGACCGACTTGTGCCTGCGACTAGAGTGACATGCAGTTGTCATTTCATATCATATCATATCATCATCAGTTCTTACAGTAGTCCTCGCAAGTGCGGGGGACGGCTCCAAATGCTGCTAATTGCTGTACGAGTCCGGATTGGGGCGTTTCGATTGAAGCGTGGGAAGTGTGCCGCATTCGCCGCATGAACCACATGTACCTGACAAGCAGTATCAAATAGCGCTTGACGAGGTCGGTGGCCATATGCAAGCAGCCACTATCACAGAGTAGTGAAGGGCAGTACTTCGAGGTGGAGGCTCAACCAAACATGATGGGACTTTATTGTGAACCTTCGATCATTGGCAGATGGTGTTCCTGTGCAAGGTGTGTCAAACAGTGGATGGCTGGATCGGTGGGCGGGGTGCCTGCTCACCACCCGCAGTTGTCAAGCCGAGTCGTGTGCCAGCATCTGATTTGAGGTTAGGGATCGGTGTGACCCATTCCAGTCCAGGCTGGGACAGCACAGTGCCCAAAAAAGGGATTCAGACATACTCACATGGTATTCCAGCATTCATTCGTGGATTTGTTCAGCTCTGAGAGGCGACCTGAAGGACCAGCACGGGGCCTTGATTCTCAAAAGAGACGGTGAGTGAGAAATCTTCCTCTTTCTAAGTCCATTACAAGGTTAAGTCGGACTGAAAGAAACACTCAAAGGCGGTTGCCTGACAAAGCCTGGCGGGTGCCTGGGACCTTCGTGCTGGGCTACGCAGGCCGGGCTCTCCAACCAAAACTCTCTCTCACTCTCCATGCACCCTTCCCCCCTCCCCTCCTGTCCCCTCTCCTCCCCTTTGATTCCCGTCCCGCTTCACTCCTCCTTTTTCGTGGCTCAGAGAGTAGAGAGGGAGAGCGAGAGAAAGAGAGAGAGAGAGACGTGCGCGCCCCTGGGGGCAGCCTCCCTTCGGGGGCGTTATGCGTGTGGGGGAGAGAGAGAGAGAGAGAGAGAGAGAGCGAGAAAGAGAGAGAGAGAGAGGGGGGGAGAGAGAGAGAGAGAGAGAGAGGGAGAGAGAGAGTGAGCGAGAGCGAGCTAGCGAGAGCGAGAGAGTTACTTGGCGCAGGGAACAAGTACCTCAACCGAACGGAGGGCGACGTAGACTGGCAGCCGGACCAGCTGAAAGGCAGAGCTGCCACACTGGACATTGTCCGGCCGAGGGTCGCACCGTTAACCTTCCATTGAAAAAAACTTGTGCTGTGCTCACAGTCGGGCAACGCGTTGGACTCCTGATCGATGGCCGGGGTGACCTCTACATCTTCGTTGATGGAATCGAGGCGTTCCTGCGGGTCTAGGAGCCAGGAGATAAGCATGTCGGCATGTCAAGAGCTTCTGGCGGCTCCAAGAGGTCGCTCATGTGCCTGGCGCCGAGATGCGCGCCGCGGGCCTCCAGCGCCCGCGCCCCGAGGGAGCGAGGGGGAGGGAAATGTGCGGCCCGTGCGTTGGGAAGCCGCCTCAGTCCCTCGCTCTACTCTTCCTTGTTGATTTCTCTCTCTCTCTCTCTCTCTCTCTCTCTCTTTGCCTTCTTTCCTTGTCTGAGGAGGGGAGCCGCTCTACGGCATCGTTGACATCTATAATGCCGGGACTTGTTCAACTCATGTCGACTGACACCTTGATTTCCTCATGCTTCTTTGTGCCTTTCCATGGCTCTCTTGGGCAGGCGACCCTGTCTGTGAGGCTGAAGCCAGGTTCGTTGTTGTAGATTCTAGTGCTTCTGAGCGATGCCCTCGGGACTTCGAATCCGTCCGTTTCTTCATCGTGCCAGGAGCGGCTGCGCCACAGAAATCCTGAGCTGTGATGCTCGCTTGCGCACAAGATTTTGCGAAGGTGGATCCGGCTTGAAAGATGGCAAAGTGACATCGGCAGTGGGCGCCCCCAAAACGCTTGCAAGACAACCTCGTACTGTGGTCTCGTTGTAGTATGCCTTAAGCTTCGCCGCACAGTTTTAAGCATGGAGCAGGTCGAAGACCGTGCAAGCATGCCCATTTGATTCATGAGTGTTTTGGCGCCTGTGCGCACGCGAATACCACGAAGTGGTCATTCGCAACTTGCGCCCTGGTCAGGTCTTGGCGGTGCTCTGTCAAAGATCCATTCAGCAAGTTGCAGGCTCACGCTGTAACCTTCGGGAAGGCGTTCGAACAAGCTCGGGCTCTTGTATGCTTGCAGACGCTTCCAGACGCTTGCAGAGGGCTGTACGTGCCTTCACGCAAGCCATGAAGCTGTAAAGATCTGCCAAGCCTGAGCACATCGTTTTGATACTCGCCCTGCAACCAAAAAAGACTCGGAAAGGTTGCGTCAGGCTGTCGATGTTGCATCTGAGAGAATTATCTGAGTTGGGGTGGCGCAATTTCGGAGGCATGAAATCGAGAAACACGTCTGTGGCCCTGTTGACCGCATGTTGTCCAAGCCAGCGCAAGCTTGCAAAACAAACAGCCACCAACAATGCAACAATGTAACACATCCTTCGATACAAGTGGTGTTAGTCCACAGAGAGCATAAGCGTTCAATCGTACGCTTCCTTTGAAGGGCACCCACCCATAGAGACCTAATGTCACAGTCAGATCAGGCACGTGGGGTTGTTTCGTCCGGCTGATGGCAAAGACGAGCCAAACGATGGTTTTTCGTTCTTGGTACCTGGCAGGTCAGATCGCTCTGATGGATGGCGGCCGTTCGCTACCTGAGAGCGCAGTTCGGCCACTGCCCTCAGTTGTTGACACCGTGCTCTCCGATCTGCCAGGGGCGACCGGTAAGAGTCATTGAAGGTACTTTGCCGTCATCGGCGTGCCCGATGAGGCAACATTGCCAGAAGTGCGGGACTTATCTCCTTTCTGACAGCGGCGCTAACTTGCTAGCAGTTTGCTAGCTGATATAGTCGGCAAGAGCAGTGAAGAGCGGTTGCAGGGAAAGTGTCCATCTGGCCCAAGGCAGGCGATGGCCTCCCAGTTCAAGTCCTTCAGCGATACCCGCAAAAGGACCACAAGGATGTCAGGCTCAAGACTGGGCATTTATCCTTAGTAAGGAATGAGGGAATTCGGGCCGAAAATGTACCCTTTTGAGGAATAATATAAATAGTATATATTCCCTCATTCCCTCATGCCTTCCCGCATTCCCTCCCTCATTCCCTCCCTCATTCCCTCACTCATTCCCTCACTCTTTCCCTCACTCATTCACTCATTCCCTCATTCCCTCATTCCCTCATTCCCTCATTCCCTCATTCCCTCATTCCCTCATTCCCTCATTCCCTCATTCCCTCATTCCCTCATTCCCTCATTCCCTCATTCCCTACCAAGAACCACGGGGTTATGGGCACTTGCGGTCTTGAGTGCAGCAAAGCCTCAGATAGCAAGTCACCTTCCAATGTTGGCAGGTTTCCACCTGCCCTTGCCTCCTTCTGCTTTCCACGAGGAGGCCTTTGGGCTTCTAGAATCGTAGAATCCAGGTAGAATCCTCCTTTGCTGCCTGCATGGTGTAGACGTAGATGTGTTATGGCTGGGCCTTCCCAGGCGCCCAAGTGGCAATGCCGGAAGACGAGGTGCCACTGCCACGGGAAGCGCTAAATTAAGCAGGGAGGCGCCGGCGCGCCTCCGCGTCATCCGGAGCATGTGCCTCTCCTCTGGCAGATGGCAGAGACGCTCCATGGCTTCGTTCTCACGAACGAAGCCGGCGACCGCTGCTTCGGGGCGGCCCCTCGAGAGAGTTTCAGAGGGACGCCGGCGTTCGACCTGCGGCATGAGGGCAGCATCTTTTTTTCGTGGTGAGGCTCTGCACATCTGGTGCTTCCACTCCTCTGGCGCATGCCTGCTGCAGAGGGATCGGGTCTTAGCTGCACCTGCTGTCTCACCGGAATGTGAGTGTGGGCTGGGCTCTCCAGGCGCTGGCGGTGGTCAGTACACAGCCTTTGTGGGGGGTGCTGGCCTTGGGGAGATGGTCTGTGCTTCTGCTTCGCTTGTCCGTCACATTCACATCCTTTGCCCTCTTCAGAATTTGCAAGACGATGCGCCAAATACACCAAGCACCTCGAAAGGCTTTCCGTGCATTCCTCTACAGTTTGCGGTATTCCGGAAATTCGCCAGAAAGGCCAGGACGCAGATCCAGAAAAAGAAGAGCCTTTCCGGAACTTGCTTCGCATTGCTGCACAGGTTTGTTGTCAGCTTCGTTTCCGAGACGCCTTTGCCGCCGCCAGGGTTCCAGGTAATTGCGGGAATCTCAGATAGCCGCTGCGTAGCTCCATGTTCTGAGAAGCTGTTTCCATGGAAGGCCTTTGTTTTCTGCAGGTTCCTTGGCCAGAGATACCAGCGTTCGCACTGCAAAGACCAGCGCCGCAGCTGCCCCATTTGCTGCAACTCAGACTCAGACGACGTGGCAGTATCCCGTCATATCCCTGCCAAGGAACCAGCTGCCCCTGCTTGACCTTCCAGTCAGGCACAGTTCAGGTTGCAGGGTGATGCATCATGAGCCCAACCCCTACAGGCGGATTTTCCAGCAGCTCAAGCCTGACACTGTCATCACCATTGTGGAGGCCCAGCAGCAAATGCTCACATCACCACGGAGTGGCGCGAATGTGACAAAGCAACTCAACGGCCGTTGTGCTGAAGGCGTTGCTTCTCGAGCATCGAATTGTTCTTCATTCCGTCTGCGCGGGGCCGTGCTTTGCTGACGTGATTGCGGTCTGATCTTGCGTCGCGAGTATCCCTGACGTAATTTGCGTGATTCCATACTTACTTGTGTGGCTTTGCAGCCGTGCGGCAATGTGTCGTGCAGTGAGTTTGGGGGCTGCGATGTATCTCATGTTTTTGTCATGCAGAGGGCGATCGACAGACTATAGGCCATAGGCTTACGTTGAAGGGTCTCTTGGTACCATTGACAAATGCACAGCGATCATAGGTTATCATAGCTTTGGCGGAGGGTATCTCACGCAGATGGCATGGCAAAGGGCCGAAGGCGTTCGTCTCGGTCACGTTCCCGCCATTCGCGAAGCTCCTCGACTTCTGGATTCCGGTACCGGTCACGGGCGCGGTCGCGGGCTAGGACGGCAAGGAGACCTTCAAAGCCTTCAAGGCATGCGAAGCGCTCGAGATCTCGCAGTAGCCAGAGCCGTGGTAGGCGCCGTCCCGTGACACCACCCAGAACATTGCCACCCAAAAGGGACACGGAGGAAGTATCAGAATCGTCTTTTGATTCTGGAACATCTTTTCAATCCGACAAGTCGAAGCCAAAGATGGGTGTGCTATATTGGGGAGGTGGACTGGAGGGACAGGGTTGGGATCTGTCTGGTCGCGCACGTGGTGGCTTTCCGCGGATTGATCGGTACTCTGATGCGCTTGTGGATAGCTGGAAGGGTCGCATGGAGAATGCCCAGGTAACTCTGAGAATGTGCGCTTCCGAGGGGCCAGGCTTCAAGAGATATATGAAACACTTCATGATGTTAAGCTCCCAGGCATGTGTGGAGTTTCGTCTCAAGCAATACCACCGCTACAACACAGTCAACCGCCGGAAAGTCCTCACCGAGCGCCAAGTCATCGGAGGAATCCTGGATTGCTGGAACCGGACGACTGCAAATTCCGGTAATTCTGGTATGCGAATCAGTAACGGGGGCCCAGGCGAGCCGAGCTTCATAGCTTTCTTGCGGCGCCGCGCGCGACGCTACCGGGCACAGGCGCACAAATTGGGAGGCCACTTTGCTGCAGTGATCCTGGAAGGTGGCCAAGAAGAGCTGAAGTTTGTCGCCGCTGCCAGGACTCTGTCAGCGGAGCGGAAGTCGAGTATCAAAAGGGTGCTCTTGATTTTAGGAGGACCCGACGGAATACCGGGTGGCATCCGCCAAGAGATGCGTCTGGCGCTGGAGGAGTACACGGACTTCCCACTATTGGGTCTCGCGCTTCCGGGTGGAATCCTTCACTCATACTATGCACTGGCTACGGTCCTGGTGTTTCACGACCAAGGTCTATTGATTCCGTATTTGGAGTTTCATGTGGGGAAGCCTCGACAAGTTGTGAAGCCGAAGGCTCGTCCGCCCACAAGGCAGGGCGAGATACATGAGATGCCCAGATCGGCGAACTCCGAGGATCCGACCATTCCGAAGGTTCCAGAGCCATCAGAGCCATCGGAGCCTCGGGAGGCGCCGCCACGCCCTCCCACCAACATCACCAACATCACCAACATCACTAATCTCACCAATGGCCTGGGAGCCTGCACCCCAAAGCCAAAGCCTCCATCCTGCCCGCCGCCTGCACACCTCCTGGCACAGCGGCCAAGGCTTCCTGACCAGCCTCCCGAAAGGGTCTTCGACGGGCCCTTCTTTGCAGGTCCACAACTCGCAGCGCCTGGCTTGAAAGCTCCGCCTGTTCGCACACCCGCCATGCCTGCAGTAATCCCCCCCTTCGGGATCTTCGGGCTGCACGCGCAGACAAAAATGCCGCTGCCGCGTCATGTCGTTGAGTTTCAGCACGGTTTGGCACATGGCATTGCAATGAGTGGAAGCCCGGCAATCTGTGACTGGTTTGCGCCCAGGCATGTCAGCGCTTTGCGCTTTTGGCGAGATCTTGGCTGCGTGCCGAGACTCCGAGCATGACATGTCCGAAGTGACAGTGTTCAGAATTAATCAGCAAAGTGACAGCAAGGTTGGCTTGATTTGGCCGTTGAGGCCGGCTGGTTGGCCTTCGGGTTCGAAGAGTGCCGCATGTTAAGACCAGCATGAGAGCTCACCATTAAGGTGGGCGCCCAGAAGTATCAGAGTGATTAAAGAGACATCACTCGACGTGCGTCCCAAACGCCCCATTTCACGAACGTGTACCCAAAACGCCGAATCACGTGAACGTGCACCCGAAACGCCCCATCATGCGAACATGCGCCCCAAAACGCCCCCTCATGCGAACGTGCAACCCAAACTTGTAATTCGTTAGCTACAGGTAGGTGGCAAGAATGCTTTTCGTTCCAGGTTTGTAGCGCAATGTAGCGCAGCTGTTTAGGCACCTGCGGAAGATCCCCGCAAGGCCAGCCGCTGTCTACGTGCCCTTGCTCCCGGACGCGCAGGGATCCCATCGGAATCTTACTTGAATCATCTTGAATCCTCTGCTTCACCAGTGAGTTTTTTGCATGGAGTGAATCGCATTGTCGGAGGCTTGTCGACTTTTGCGGGGCCCCGCTTCCCTTCGCTGCTTGCCCGCACAGATGTTGACAGACTTGGACGCAACACGGCTGGTCTAGTGTCTAGTGTGGAGGTGCTTGGCATTTCTTCAGAGATGGTCCAACGCATCTCAGCAGCATTATGCTGCTCTGAGGGGTCTTGGGTGGCCTACTCCGTCAAATTCCTTTAAGCATCGGCTGCGGGTAGTTCCTACCAATCGCGTTCCCCGATGTTGCGCCGTGGCCATTGTAAGTTTCGATGCCGAGCTTCCTCACTTTTGCTCTGAGAGCCGCAAGGTGCCGAAGCAATCTGCGAGCCGCAGACGATGTTTGTTGACATCGATCATGGCGAAATTCGAGCCATCCAGGTTTTCACAAGTCACCGGGCTGCTTAGGGGGCAAGGCCTTGCATCTGGGCGTCAGGAGAACTGCATGAGCACCACCTTGGGGTTTTGCTCGACCCGGCCAGTTCTGGTCTCAGACTCTTGAAATTCTCAGGGGAAGGTGCCAATCAGAGGAGCACTCTCTATTGTAACATTATAGCATTACAGCATAAGAATTTTTTAATTGTGACACTACGCCGCTACGCGACCCGCCTCGGCCGGGGCCTGCGCAGAGGCGCTTGTCTGCTCGCTTGGAGCCAAATAAGGAGAAGGAGGGGTGGGAGGTTGGAGGCCAGTCCATTGGAGCAGACGGCAGGGGCAAAGGTGGTTGGGGGTGGGGCGGGGGGCGCCTCGTCCGCCTTGGGACACCGGCCCATGGCGCACCCATTCCAAGGGGTGCAAACTTGTGCGGGTGGTGGGGAGGGGATTAGAGGTGGGGTGCTTTGTGCCACCCAGACACCTACGGCCCGAGGCCTCGGGGCGTACATTACCATAGTAATCCAATGTAATCCATAGTATGAATGGTTATTTTACATTATTTCCACCCTCTTTGTTTTCCAGTGAAGGGGGAGCACCGCCTCGTCGGTCCGCGGCCTCGGCCTGCAGCGCCCGACCGGCCACACAAGAAGCTGTCAGATTCTCAGATTCCCAGATTCTCAGAGAGAGACATGAGTGAAATGTGCCACAAAGGGGCGATTTTCTTCTCTCAGAGAAAGAAACAACAAAGCTCAGAGATTTACTTTAAGAGTGGCTCGACGTAGCTTCGTATTGCAAGCTCTCTGTGTTGGCTGCCGTTTGTTTTCTGTGGTGCCTCTCCCCTTTGGGAAGGTTACGCCGCTTGGACCTAGCACTGCGCGGGATCGACTTCCAGGCAAAGGTTTTAGGACCTCGGATCGCTTGAGCGGTCGATAAACTTCGGAGACTTTGTTCGTGAAGTGCGCTGCAATGTCATCCACTGTGGCAGCTCGGCTCAAGAGTTCTTGCGGCGCACTAGGCTCCAAGGTCCCAGCTGTTTGCGAGGCCTTGCACCTTTGTGCCCCAGGAACGCTCATTTTCTCAACTCAACCGTCAAATGGTCGTATTCTGGTTGGTTGAGTTGACAGCTCGAAACATGGCCTGTGGTCTTATGGTTTCTCTGACCTTCTATCTGGCCAATGGACATTTGAATCGTGCTACGCGAGTGTATTTCGCATTTTCGGAGTTATTGCGCCCTCCAAGCCAAGCCATGCTGCCTCTTTGGGATTGTGCCGCTCTCGTGTTGGCTGGTTTGGCGGGCATGTGCCTTGCCCAACATTGGAGGCGAAGGTAGGTCGCCATGGTCTAGATCAGACGACCCACGGGGCCTTTTGCATGCAAAATTGTGACCTGAGGGTTTACGGCCTGCGGAAAAGGACTCCGCTGAACAGGCATGTTTAGTGATGCATAGTCGTCCTGGACGCGCAACACGCAGGACTTCGCAGAAAGTCGTGCGCCAGGCAGGGGCTGTTGGCGGGCCAGTGCCAAGTTCAAAAGCCCCGCAATTAGCAGAGCAGAGGTACAGGCGATCATCTTCGACCTCGATGGGACGCTCATCGACTACGAAGGCAAGGGTCAGAGCACATTCAGGGACTTGGGGGGAAGAACCTCGTACTGTAGCAGGTGCATCTCATGAAGCCCTAGAAGCGCCACTGCAGCGCCGTGGCAAAACTCTCTCCTGGGACTGGGGGGGAGGGGGTACCTCACATGCGGCCGATTTGCCAAGTGCATCTGTAGTTAGTACCTTCTGGAACCGTTCCATGATCGGGCTGTGACTAGTGCACGCAGAGTGTTCTGAAAGCAGGATCTGCACGGCAAGATCGTCGGAACCAAAACGGAAGATTGGTCCCGAAAGATTCTGCAGGCAAAGCGTTGCAGCGGATGATGTAAATGTAGATGCTTCTGTCGAGGAAGCGAAGCATCCTAATCCTATGCATTTCAAACTTGTGATTGTGAAATAATGATGTCAGGACGTCGGCCTGACTCCAGACATCTTGACTCCTGAAGCGTATGTCAAGGAGCCACCGCGACAAACAGCCAGCCGTGCAGCTTGCATTCATTCCGTGCAAGGAATACTTGGAGGATATCAAGGCGCTCCGATTGTTGTGTGGTCACCACATGCGTATGTTTCCGCGGAGTCATCAGCGTCGGTCTGAGAGGCCCTGTATTCCAAGATCTTGGCCTGGCCGGGAACGCTGCCCCTGCTTCGGTCTCTGAAGAAAGCCGGCTTCCCGATGGCCATTGCAACTTCCAGCCCAAGGCCTTCAGCGTGTCATGAGATGATATGGGATTTCCTCTCCCATATTTCCACCGCAGGGTGTCCTTCGACCAGAAGATGCGATACCACCAGGCCGGAAGCATTGCAGGAGGCAGCCATTCCCTGCCAGCCGCCAGCTGAACATGCATAACCATGGGAAGTGCTGTTGGTTTACAATTTATTTGCTGAATGTTCTTCATGGTTTTTATGTGTGTGTAAGTGTGACCAGTGGCGCGCCATGCGACCCACAGCGCACCGCATGAGTCGGAACTATCCAACAGTGCCAAGTTCAAGCTCGAAGACTCAGAAGCACACGAGACATTCGATGCCTGTGGTCTTGGGAACAAGCCTCCCTGTGCACACAGAATGCTGATCGAAGCATCCAACGATTTTGGTGCCTTGCTCCTAAGCTGATGGTAAGTAGCTGAAGCCGCGGGCTGCGCTGCATGCTACGCATATTCTGCCACACCGGCATGAGACGGCGCACAGATCACCTTGTTGTGCGAGCTTCAACGGAGAGGCCCTCAATGAGGTGTGCTGTGCGGCGCACGAGCTGCTACCTGATATATTCCGATTTTTCTTGTATGAAGCTGTGAGCATACACGAGCCATTATTCCAAGCAAATGATCGTCGGCAGTGACCTCTGGAGGAAATCCTAGACTTGATGGATGCAGTCGTCACCGGCGATGAAGTTGCTAAGGGCAAGCCGGCGCCGGATCCTCAACTGTTCTGTTCGGTGCTACAAGCTGCTTGCCTTTTGTCATGCTTTTTCTGCACACGGCAGGCCTGATATCTTCCTCGAAGCCGCACGAAGGCTTGGCAAGGAGAGCCGCAAGTGCATCGTGCTTGGGGCCAAGATCGCAGGTGCCATGTCCAGTGGATGACGGGGTTCTTGTCAACTGCATAAGGTTTGAGGACTCGCCTTTGGGAGTTGCAGGTGGACAGGCGCGGCTTGACTATATTCCTGCGCTCTTGCCATTACTTTCATTGCCCCATGCATGCACTACGTGTCAGCAGCTCATGTTCTTGGCTCGCCAGGCAGCTGGCTGCCTGACTGCAGCGCTACCGGACCCAAGGCACTCAGACTGGAAGCCTCTGTTTCAAGGGTTTCCGGCTGTCAGCATATGTACGACATACGTAAGTCAACCAATGCCTCCAAGCATATGTTTCAAAAAGCTTACGTCAGATTTGTAACAAGGCGATGCCAGGCCAGGACGCTTTGACAACACAAGACTATGCGAGCGGGTATATGGAAGCAGGAGAGTCGTGTTGCTTGCGTTCTTTGCAGAAGCTACACCCCTGCAACCTTCCTACAAGGGCTCTCGCAGTCACAAGCGTGAGTGCAACATGGCAAGCACGCCTGCACAATATGTATCATAAAAGCACATATTTAGAATGTGTGTGTGTGTGTATTCTTATATAGATACACATATATACACGTATACACATGTGTGCGACAAACACATGATGTTTGTCATTTGTATTTGTATGTATACTTGTTTTTTTTTAGGTATTTTAATTCAAAGAGCTTTGATGTCTTGAAGCTGTTTTTTGGCCAGTGTTGGGTCCTGACTGGTGGGTTTTGCTTTTGGCCTGGGCTGGGTAAGGCTGTAAGGTTCTCTGACATTGGCTTTTCCATTTCTGATATAAAGCCTTCGTGGCGGTGCTTCAATGCCACACGCTGTAAGCCGTTTTGCACTGATCTGCCTGCAGATTCTCGGACAATGCCAAGCGACTCCAAGAACTGCGCCCAACCTGGATGCTGACAGGTGGTATCGGACACTTGGCTACGAGATAGACTGTCTCTGATTTGTTGAAGCTTCGTCCTATGGTTTGGTGACTTTCAGTGACCTCTTCGGAGTCTCCGGAGTATCGAGCAGTTGCCTTGCCTGCCTCGACAGCGTCGAAACGGTTCGGAAGTGCAGGCGACTTCAATCCAGATGAGCTGTGCTTAGACCGGGGGCCTTGACGCTCCAGCAGCCAAAGCTAAGCTGCGGCCAGCGGCCAGAAGTTGATTGCACCCATTGACTCCTACGCAGTATGGAGAGAAAAAATACATTGCACTTGCAGTGACTGTCAGTTCGGTGCCCACGAAACCTGGAGAACCTCCCAAGTGCAGGCTGCGGAACAGAAGACACGCTTCCCTCTGCCACTTTCGAGGTTTCCAAGATGTTTCAGCAGTCCGGGCATGCTTTGATTTGGGGCATCCCATATCGAATTTGTTCAGGCCTGTGCCGTCGTCGGTCGGCTTCCTCAGTGATGTGGCAGATTGGGCATGGATAGTTGGTGCACCTATGTCGCAGACACAATCTTGGCTCAGGCATTGGTCCGACAGAGATCATCGTCCTTTGGTGGACTGGTGCGCCGCAGAGTGTGCGGATACGTTTGTGCAAACGGGATTGTTGGGGCATGGCTTGCAGGCGCCTGCGTCGTCGCCCTCACAGGGCAGACCTCGCATGTCGTCACAAAGCTGCAACCAGTTTTTATTTTGCCCTGTTGACTGTAGAATGCTTCATGCTCGATCTAGCTTCAGGTCTGGAGTCTCCGACCTAAGTGATGGTGTGATGTGCCCAGCTTTCGTGAGTAAGACTGCACCAGATGGATGCCGCCATCAATGCTGTACGCCATCAATGCTGTTAATGCTGTGCGCCTGTCGGCTTCGGCCAGGGTTTGCTAACAGGACGCTAGCTAAGGGAACGCAGCATTTTTTCGGGCCGAGTGAGTCTACGGAGCGCTTCGTCGTGGGTGTTTGGTGAAGGTTTGTGGCGGCTGCACAGGCTCCAATAAACGAAATCAAGCCGCAGCGCTGGTCAACCCAAGCTGTGCATGTCTCGTAGCCCCTTGGCCGACTCGCTCACTTGGGGGGAGTCGTGAGGAACCTCTAAACTTTAAACGCGCTCGGCCGAGTGAGGCGAATTGGACTTACGGCAGCATGTTTCTATGGTGCAGACATTACGTTGCTCAAGCATGGGGCCTACCCTGCTGTGTCTTAGAAAAGCCTGAGCACCTGCATCTGGCGTCGGCCATTTCAGCAGTGTGGACCATGGCAAAGGGGAGTCGCTGGCCAGAAGCAAAATCAAAAGGTTCCGGCAAGGGGAAGGACTGCTTTTGCCGCAAATTGAAGAGTGAAGAGCGTGTCGTGGTCAGCGTTCGGCAAGCGGCTTTGCAGGGCAAGCCTCCAGACAACTACAAAACGGAGCTGTGCAGATTTTTCGAGCGCGGTCTCTGTGAGCCTCGGCTAAAATCGGGCATTCTGCCGCATTCACCCGCCATGCAATCCGGGAGCTTAGGAAGTTTGAATATGATTTAGTATGATATTAGCAACTGCAAGAGCGCAGGAGAAAGGGAAAGCGTGTCCCTTTGCGCACGGCAAAGAAGAGCTGCGCCCGTCCACTCTATCAGAGAACATCACGGCGCCTCGATTGGCGTACAGTGACCTTGTCAGGGATGTCAGGGTCAAAGGGCACGTGCAGTCAGTGCAGTCGTGGAGATGAGGCGAACAAGCAGAAAGATGCTGAGGTGATGTCATGGCTGAAGGTGCCTGTCAAGTGCTTTGTTGTTACCCAGGCGTGTGAGCGGGTAGGCATATGTATATATGTATATATATATATGTATATATGTGTATGTATATGTATATGTATATGTATATGTATATGTACATGTACATGTATATGTATATATGCACCTCTCTGATGATGGCTGATGAAGATCTACCACCCGAGACGTGCTCGTTTGCAGCCCTCTTGTCGGGCCTGAGCTGTATGACCAAGCGTGTGACGTGAGGCAACATTCAATCCAGTGGGCGTGCAAACCTGCACCGCTAACTGTTTTCCGCCACTTGCCCCGCTTGCTGCTTGCCCCACTTGCTCTGGTCCCTTAGCGGAAAACGATATTGAACCGCTAAGCGATTTCTGCCGCTTGCCCCGGGGGGGTGAAAGGGTCAGGGAGGCAAGTGGCTCACTTGCTTCACTTGCTCCACTTCAGGGAGGGGGCCAAGGGGGTAGGGGGTATGGGGTACCTCCTGACTTGCTCTTCCGGGCCACCAAGTGGGGCAAGTGAGGCAAGTGGGGCAATGTCGGTTAGCTCTTCCGGAAATGCAAGTGGGGCAATGTCAATTAGTGGTGGCAGCAGACAAGCGCAATGATTCATCAGCCGTCTCTTGAAGGAGCGAAGAGAACAGGAAGGGCATGCTGGCGAAGAGTTTGAGCACCATTGGACTCTGCCTTGAAATGAGTGTATTGCAAGCTGTTGCAAGTTGTTTGCCGTACTAGTGATCATTTGTGATCCACCATGTGAAATGACTTCGCTGGCTCGATCGAGGAAAGCCTGGTGCAAGATTCATGGCTTGAAGGCAAATGGATGCAGCCACGAACCGGACGTCATGATCACATGATCGAAGCTTGCCACCGCAGGACTTGACGAAAGCGGCTCGTTTGAAAAGCACCTTGGCCAGCCTCGGGCGGGTTTAGCGACATCCACGTCCCAATCTAAGAAGATGCGTGAAGATTCGTGAAGATCGCAAGGCATCCACGATTTCCGAGCGGAGATGGAGTCCCAGGTCTCGACGGGCTCGGAAGGGCAGCCTAGGGAGCCTGGTGGCCCCTCAGCAGACGCGGTTTGCCCACAGGGCCATCGGCTGAAAGTCAGCCATGCTGCAGAGCCTTGGCAAAATTGGCAAATGCCTTGGTGCTGCGATGTGCGGTGCATGCGGTGCATGATGGGCATGATGGGCATGATGGTGCACGCGGTGCACTTGCTTTGTCAGCTGTGCGAGCTTTGACCACCGTCATCCCAAATATCCCAAGGACGAGTACGAGTGTGACGGCTGTGGTGCCGAGTCTTGGACGCATGATTGGACGACATTCAGCAGCGTTTTCTGCATCTAGCTTAGTAGTTGCACTACAGCCTTGAAATTGTGTCTCTGGCCTCCAGTTCAGGACATTCGCCCTGGGTCGACATTTTCCGATTGCCTGGCCCCTATGACACAGGGCTCCGTGTGCAAGATGCCTGCCACAAGCCACTAGCCAGGCCGGGGATGCGACTACAGCCTGTGCGAGGCTTGTTCCAAGACGGCAGCAAGCGAAGAGCGACCTGTCAAGTGTGCTGCTGGACCAGCTGCCGAAGCGCCAGCGCTGGAACCCGCAGTGAGACGTGCGACAGACGCAGTGAGACATGCGACAGATGAGCGGCCAGACGGCGTAAACTTTGCTGCTTGGATGTGATTGCCGCCACGACATGCAAACCCTGGTATCAGTAGCGGTAGGTTAATTGTCTAGCAAGACCAACACTGTAATCTAGTGTTGCGTATAACTTGCCTGGACATTCCGTTGGTGCACACGCTTCGGTTCGTCCAGGCAACGTCATGTATTTCACGTCGCTAGCTTTGAAGTCTTGCCATAAGGTGTGGGCGTCCAGCATTGAGGCGATACGCTTCAAGCTCAAGAACGCAATTGAGGATGGTGCTCTTGTGGCATTCAGAAGGCAAGGCGTGAACTCATGTGGAATGACAGCGCGGACACTTTCGGCCAAGGATTGAAGCTGGCCGATCTGATCGGCTCCACTTCACAGCAGTCTCCCCTCCAGTGTCCTGAGTTGGTTCGCCACTGGGCTTCAAAAGACGTGGCAAAAGGGGCATCTGGGGGGCACCGGTCCACTGGTCAGAGAGTCTGCGCGTTTTGCTGTGTGTTGAGTCGTGTTTAGTCATGTTGGGCATCTGTACTCCGGCACTGTGCTCCCGTAGTAGCCGTCGTCTCTGACTCCGCCTGTCTGCAGGACAATGCGAGGGCCGATGCGCCAGTTTCATAGGCAGGGGCTTCTTGTCCTCTCTGAGCCCGAACGATCCCCGCCATTCTTCGTCCAAAAAAGCTATAAACCCATGCATTGTGTGTGAGCAGTCTCAAAATACCGCCGGTGCGGCCCATTGCTGCGGTGTCAGGCCATTTCCTCTTCCCGGAAGCATTGCCCATTGTGGTTCAGACGTGCCTGAGTGAGCAGAATTTAGCTGGAGTTTGCCGAGCACTGCAGCTAGGCAGGGCAGTTGCACGCGGCCTGCTGACTTTCTGATTCGGTCAGTTCTTTTTGGCAGATGCCCTTCCTTCTCCGGGTCTGTCGGCCACAGGGCGCTTGTGAACATTCCTGGACACACGACCCAGAAAACGAGAACCCTTTCTCTGGCGACTCATGATACTATGCATTCAGGGAGAAGGCATGCCATTCCTGATTAGGTTGCCAAGCTCGGGAGAAACAACAAGTCAACGGCCCGTCCTCAAATTGCTCCGGACAGGCCTGTGATGGGCCAGGACCCATGTCATGTGCAGAACAAGCTCCAAGGAAAGCACAACCTCAAGGTCCTAGTCCTAAACCTGCCTGGGACATTTTTGCACAGAAAAGCTAGGGAACCGATTGGCTCGGTCATCCCATTTGCTGTCACAAAACTGAATGACATTCAATCCGCTGCCGAACCCCAACAATCCAAGAGGTCGGTAAGAGCCGAAGCCGACGAGTGGAATCTCTCCAGATGTCCTGATGACGGAGGGCCGAGTAGTTAGCGTCCAGGCAGCCCGCACCCTCAAGCAGCCACAAAACGCCTCTGTGAAGGCCCGATCTCTCACGTGGGTATTTGTGAGCACGCGACCATGTCCAGCCCACACAGAGAGACGCAGATTGAAGTAGTAAGTAGGATATTCTACGGAGTGGAATGAGGCATATGGTGCCTCCAGAATCGAACCTTCTAGATCCAAACCAGGCCACTCTAAAGAAGGTAACCAAGCATAGGGCCATGGGCCATAGGGAAAGAAATGTACACAAAGAAGCTTGAAGAAGGGCGGCAAGGCAGAGAGTCGGAAAAAGGGGACAGATTTGAAACAAATAAAGACACGAACTGCAATCGCACCAAGACAAAACCAAAGCCAGTTCTCAAAAGTGGCACTTACGGGCCCGATATGAAGTGCCTAAAGCTTAGAAATGTCAAGCTCCCCCTTTGCACAAAAACAGAAGAGCAGACGAAAACGGAAGGCGAGGAGACACAAGCTCAGCGGTAGTTGCGGAATCCCTGAGGGGGGGGGGCTGCTGGGACGGGCTTCAACTGCCTCTGGTCCTGGCGAACCGTCCGCTGGCGGATTGTTGTCATCTTTGCACCTTGTGAGTTTGCTTGCTGTAGCTTGGTTTGCACTGAGGGAGAGAAAGGGAGACAGGGCATATAGGGACAAGCCCTACCACGGGAGCATAGACAAGGTCCGACAACCCCAGCGCATGAAGGGACAAGGGGAGAGAAGCACCGAAACTGCCCTGAACATGCACTTGCGGGCGACATCTATGCACGGAAACATGGGCTGAGTTAGCTCCAAAAAGAATTGAGTTTGTGAAAAGAGGTAGCCTTGAAGGATTCCTCGGCGACCGCCTGCGTAGCAATGCATGCTGCATGCCATTTTTGCATCAGCTGCTGCCAATGCTGCCAGAATCGCTCTTGCAACTCGAGCCGGACGCGGAGCCTGCGGAGCTGGCTGCTCGTGCAACCGTTGCCTCATCGCTTTTTCTGGCTTTGTTTCGAGCTGCTCGAAGTGACTCGGCGCAGAGTATGGCAAATTATGGCAACCTCAGCTTGTGTTTTCAGTGTTTTTGCCAGCGCTCAGACTCCTAATCCACACCGTGCAGCTGCAGGATCTCCAGACAATGCCTGTTTGCTCGTCGCCGTTGACTCTAGGGCCGCAAACGGCAAACGGGCAGTTGCAAGTTGCGGAGGGGCATGGAGGTCTCCATCTGCAGTGAACTGAGCTGCGCCGGAGTTGTTGCGAACTCCTCGCTGATGAGGAAGCCATGCTCGACTTTGTGCCTTGGCTTTTGGCTTTTGGTACCACAGTTCGGTGCAGCTGGGTGCAACCTGTGTGTCATCCAAGGTTTGCCTCATTGGCACCAGTCATTTCGTTGCCATGGGCGTGATGAGTGATATGAGTGCTGATGCTGCTGATGCTTCTTTGCAAGATCCCCAATGTGATGCAGAGACTGACGGCGAGGAGGTCCTTTGGCAAGATGCACCAGTTGCAGGCCGGGGAGCATAGCAGAGTTTCAATGTGTTGCGACTGTTGCATGCTGGCAAGAATTGGTGCGCAGGGCAGCCGCCAGAGACTGCACTTGCTGCGGACCCGTTCATGGACATGTTTGCCCCCCCCCCCCCTATGCCCCCCCCCCCTTCCGAGAACCCTCGGCAAAGCTTAGTGAGAACAGGCCCTGTTCGTGATGATGACGTGGACAGGGCTTCATGTGGGTAGGAATGTGAAGTCTGTGAAGTGATGCTGCGTGAGGGAACACGGCCCGCACTTGGCTGAAAAAACCAACAAGGACAAAGTCAAGGACTCCAAACTCAACTTTCAACGATTGGAAAACAGACTACGCGCACGCACGCGCGCATGCACGCACACGCACGCGCGCACACGGATGGCCGCCGCGGCACGCTCTCGGGATCACCGTTCCGTAAACCTGAAGATAGACTGGGTTGGGAACCTCAGCAGGAGCAAGGCCTTGGCAAGGCCTTGGCAGGGCCTCAGCAAGGCCTCGGCAAGGCCTCGCTCAGCCTTTCTAGCAGGAGTTTTGCAGGGTCACAGCTCGCCCCTCAGCCCCCAACTTCACCGGGCCCCTCAGCTTCTGAAAGCAGACATTGCTGAAGCAAGCCCTCCACTCCCGACACAGGTACGTGGCATTCGCTTACAGCTGCTCATTCGCTGGTCAAAAAAACTAAAACTAAAGCCGCCTTCACATCTCGGTCCATTGACTGCTGTGATTGGTCATACTATGGAGCTTGCTGCTGATGTGACGAGCCTTAACATCAGCTGGCAGAGTAAACAAAGCAAGGTTGAGGGCCTACCGCGGTGCTACTGAGCACCGAGTGCCTGGCAAGGGCTTGCCAATCATCTACCAAGATTTTGGGGGGTGGGGGGGGGGCATAGGGGGGGGGGGCAAACATGTCCATGACCCGTCCGAGGACGACGGCGGCCAAGTCGAAAAATAGGGAGAGAGGCGACAGCTGCAAAGCAGCAATGCGACGTCGCACCAGGAATCCGAGGATGCTGCGCGAGCCCGCCGCGTTCAAGCTCAGCAAGAGCGAAGGCAACTAGACTGCCGTCAGAATTTCTAAAGCATGAGCTGTTGGAAGTACTGCACCGTGCTTCAGGTCCGCGTTGCGCTGGGATTACACGGGTGGATACCGACCTGCAGATGCAAAGCGTGAGACAAACGAGGAGGTGCACTCTGTCAGATTCTGTCATGTCCTTTCTACAGTCGCCGAGCCGCCGAGCCTTGTCGGGCATTGCGAACCCTCGCAGTGCAGGCGACGCTGCGACTCATAAACTCTCGCTGCAAAGGGCGACTCGGGAGCCCACTCGGCTGCACTAGGGTCACACCTAGGGTCCCCCAAACACGCCGCAAGTCCGTGAATGCATGCTGGTGGCAAACTTATGTTAGGTGGCGAGGCGACATTCGCGGCAAGTGCAGGCGAATACCATGAATTGGAGCCTTCGAGACTTGGCAGTGCACGAGGATGGCCGGCAGGCTCCAGAATATACCTGACACGTTTCTGGTTACCTGCTTTGCAGTGGGAGGTACTTCCCCTTCTTCCCTCCAAAAGCACTTGCATGTGTGCGTCAGGAAGTCGAAGTCTGAGCCCCGCGGGGGAGCGCAACCGCATGTGGCACCTGCGGCCGGTCCTGCCGCGGCGTTCATTTGCTCGCTATCCAGAAATCGTCAGAGTCTGCCTTAGCGTATGCCAGGCTTGATGCCGCAGCCTGAATCCAGAGCTCCGAGACTTGGCGGCGAGATCGTGTCTACCACTGCATAGCCTCTGTGTATGACCTTTGCGCCTAGGAGATTCAAGAAAGACTTGTGCCATAGCCTCAGGGTGTACGGCACGACTGCTCTCCACATAGGCTGGCCTCAGTCGCCCGCCTCCAGCCCCCTCAACTTCACCAGGCACCCGCAATGCTTAGCAATGCCTCTCCTCTCTTCAACACACCGAGGCAAGTACTTTGAGCGGGGCCATTGCGACAAAGGGGCGCGATGCACTTTTGCTCATGGTGAGGAGGAGCTGCGGGATGGTGGCAGCAAGGCGGCCCTTTTTTGAAATTGTGTCGAGGCCCCATAAGGCTCCATAGGACCCTGCAGACCCGCGTGCTGGGCACCAGAAGTTAGGTGAAAGCCGTAGAAGTAGCTCCGAGATGTTTCAGCTGCCCGACGTGACCCTTATTCATTTTTTTGTGCAAAAGGGGCGTTTCCTCAAAGAGAGCTGATGCTTTGGAGAACCGTGCCAAGACCCAGAAGCCTGTATACAGATTTTTGGGGACCCTCTGGGAGACGGAAGCCAAAGCCTTCACTGGCGCTCTGATACATGGATGTACTTCCCGCAAGGCAACCTCCAGCAATGGCGTGCCTGTCCACTACGGGCCATCTTGGGAGACTGGTCCACCTTCAGCAGAGATGGAATCTTGCCACGCAATAGCACCACGCAGTGGCGCCAGATGTCAGAATGCTTGGCCAGCTTGGAATCTTGGATTGCCAAAAGAACCACTGCCCTCTGAGAGGTCCACCGAAAAAAGATCTGAGGGCAGTGCTCGCACTTCTCACCGCTGCTAGGGGCGGGAGGGCGGTTCTGAAGCTTCTGCTTGGCCAACCGCGTCGTGTACAGATCGCGCCAGACTGTCCAGAAAAGAGTGTACACCGCGAGCTGAATTCGTCAGCGGAGAGGTGAAGAGTGTCATGCCCTTGCAATGCGCCCGGTCAGTCTGTGTCTGCAAAGAGGTGATGCTGGATGCAGTTGAGTCACCGTGGCGAATGCCAGGCCACGAGTGCATGGGAGCACACGCAGTACGCTCAGTATGTGCTGGCATAGCGGCGCGCGCAGATGCGCGCAGGGTGTGAAGACATGTCCGCTTCGGAGGTGATCGCCCGGCATTGACAGTGCCAAGCCCAAGAACCTCTGTTTGAAGCCCAGCTTCAAAAAAAAAGGAGAGGGGGTTTGTGTTTAAGGACAATGTCCACTCGCCGGAGCACATCCTGGCCAAACAGGTCGCAGAGCAAGTTCGTTGATGAAGTCTTTGTTCTCGCATTTGAGTGCAAGCGATTCCGCTGCGGATTTGCGCACTTGCTGGTGGCTGCTTAGTTCTCGAGTCGTTAAATGAGGCTAAGACCTCTTGTCTAGCCAGTAGACTGCCTATCGCCATGGCTCTGCAGCACAGCTCAGAGGTCTCTCCGCATGAGTGCGGTGATGCAGACAGCGAACTTACGCCGGCATTGCCAGAATCGGCACCGGAGGTGACGCAACAAAGTGTTGTGTTCCGCCGGGCGGCCTATGCCCTCCTTTTTCTCGGTGCTGCGCTCGTGGTCATGGCCACAGCCACAATCTTCCCAACACAGACCGGAGAATTGGAGAAATCTTCCAGCGATGCATCGATGGAGGGAATGGAATCAGACCTGCGAATGCTTGCTGAAGTTTCATGTGCTGGAGTCACATGTGACGCCTACTCCACCCATGACCCGACCGGCACATGTGAGGGACCCGAGACTTCAGATGACTGTTTGGAGAAGTGCTGTCTCGAGATCGAGTGCGACGACATTCCAGCTTTCTCGTGCGTGGCTGCCCTTGGTCCGTCATTCTTCACAAGGAAGGTTACATTCTTCAAACTGGGACGAAAAGGTGGAAAGTGCAAAGGAGAAGAGAATTGCAAGGACACGTGTTGTCAAGGCGAGTGCGCCACCACTACTTGCAATGGCGCAAACCCCTGCCAGAGGCCATTCCCGCCAGAGCGGTGCACTCCTTCCAAGTGCGTTGAGCAATGCTGCTACAATGGCGATGAATACTGCGGCAATGGTGGTGCCAATGCCTACACGTCGGCATGCAAGAGTTGCATGTCACTGACGACATATTGTGAGAACATCATGAACCTCGACTTCGCGACGACACCCAGGCATGAGTGGAACCAGAAAGCCTTCGAGATGGTCATGCAAGGCTTGCTGGAGCCTGGCTGTGAGGTGAAAGAAGTTCCACAGTGTGAGGACCTTCTCAAGTTCAGAGTGAAAGCTACCTTCCCTTGGCACAAAGCCAGTGGCGAATACGTGTCAGCAAACGCCGTGGATATCATTGCTGGTGGCACTCAAGCGGTTAGCGGTGGAGATGACATGCTCATTTTCATCTGGAGGATTGAGGATGGCCACTTCCTCAGAAACTACTCGGCCCATTATTCCGGCGTTCGTGCGATCAGCACGTTCCGCGATGCCACCTTCTTCTGTGCTGCCAGCTCGACAGAAGTAATCGTCTGGCGCAGCTCGGGCCCTGAAGATGCGGGAACCCTTTCCGTGGAGTTTACGACCTGGAACGCAAGCTCTGTCTTTACTACGTACTGCATGAGCGTCCCCACGTGGGAAACCGTCATTGTGGGTCAGACTGACAGCGAGACGGTAATCTGGCACTGGAAATTTGGTGGAACCCTCTCAGTTCCAGTCGACCCGGATGCCGAGTGGGCTTGGCAAATTGACCGAGATGCGCTCTTTGTCCGCTGGCCCGACCAGATCAAGGGCCATCCCAGTGAGCTCCAAGTCGGCTTCACGGAGTGGAGGAAGAATCTGTTCGGGATTCATCCACATGAGGGATTCCTGGCCACCAGCCGGCGCCTGCTGGACGGCGGCGACACGTCCCGGGGCGGAGACATGTCTCCGGCTATCGTGACGTCTCTGGAAGGCAAGGTGCCTGAGGAGGTGCAGGCACAGGCACGGAGACTCCGTCCTGCCGATCGCACAGCCCCGTTTACCAATTGGTTCACCAATGAGCGTTGGGGCGATGTCCCGGTCTATTTCTACCAGCCGGACGGCTGGGGAAAGGTGATGTGCATTGCCGCGATCCCCTTCGACATCCTCTATGCAGTCGGCTACGAGGATGGTAGCATCCGTGTTTGGAAGGTCTACAACGGCTTCTTGAAGAGCTTGATCCCAAAGGCCCATGAAGGATCGGTCAACGCCTTGGTTTCGGCTCCGGCTGGGAACACCTTGTATTCCGGTGGTCAAGACGGCATCATTCGCATGTGGGATGTCTTCAGCGGCAAGCTGCAAGGAGAGCTGTACGCGGCCCATGCCGGGCCTGTTCGATCGTTGGAAGTGATCCCGGGTGGCAACAATATCTACTCGGGTCACGCCTACGGCCTTTTGCTGTTGTGGATCCCAGGAGAGAAGAAGTTGTGGTGTGAGCTGGACACAAAGGCTGGTTCCGTCAACTCACTTCGAGTCAATCCTGCTGTGGTTGGTCAGGTCCTGGCGGCTTTGGAGAATGGCGACGTCAGGGTGTACCAGATGGGCTGAGAGCGCGGTAGGCTAGTAGAGTAGAGCTCAAAGGAGTTTCACTTGACAGCAATTCCTCTTGGACTGATAGTTATGCACTGGAGAACAGCAGATCTTGCGACTGTGAAACCAACCTTTGTCAGTACATGCTAAGGCACATGTCCACATTGCATGCAGCTGCGCCTTTGCAACAAGACTGATCTGCAGCATAAAGCCGAAGCTCGAGCCGGGCCTGAATGGGCTTTGGTATGCCCTGCTCTGCAAATGTTGCGCCTTCTGCAGCTTTGCTGCCTGATGCCCGGAATGCTTGGAGGGGCACACGAGCGCCAGCCCAGTTGGCAAAAGGGACACTACCCCTACGAGGACAACCTGCTGCGCAACTGCTAGATTGTGCAGGCAGCAATGCTGGTTTGCGCGATTGCTGCCTGCATGGGTGCAGGACTTAATATCCGAAACAGTGGCGTACTGTTACAGATCACTCGTGCGCAACTCTAGCTGCTGCCTTGACAGCAACTATTCACCTGGCGTTCGGAAGCAAGTTGTGCGGCGTGTGGGTGTGGGCTGGTGGTGTGGCAAGAAATGCTACGACGACAAGAAAGGCTATCGTGGAGCTGCCTGACAAGAGTCAGCTGCGTGAGTTGAGTGCATTGGTTTCTGCGTTGTACACGATGTGCTAGACTATGCGCAAACCAAGGATGACTTGCTTTGGATCCCTGAGGGTGCAACTTGTGAATCTCCACGGCTGCTGTGGATCCATGGAGGCAGCTGGTTGTACGGAAGCCCGGACACTTTGTCGTATGGCCAGCTGGCCTCCAAGCTGTCGGGCCTGTCTGGGGCCATTGTGATGGTCCCAGACTTTCCCCTTGCACCGGTGGGGAGCTATTCCACTATCCTGAATGCTTGCCTCGATGCTTTGCGTTGGCTGGCGGAGACCTCCCTGGACCTTCACTGCCCACCTGGAGTGGCGCCACTGCTGGTGGGGGGCGACTCCGCGGGGGGTGGAACTGCGGTGACCCTGTCCCATGGCAAGAGAAAAAGCATAAGCGTAGCTTGATTCGCAGTGCAAGGTGTCATCCTTTAGGGCAAAGTGCCAGCAGAGTCCAGTCAAGGACCCTCAAGCTAAAGCAGAGCGGAGGCTGGAGCCCGAACGGCATCAAGCAGTCCCGGCCAGAAGAGCTGCCAGGCGGCCAGATCCTTGCAGGGGCCATATTCTTCAGTCCGTGGACAAACTTGAAGTGTGACACACCAGACTACTACTACAATGCTTTCGCAAAGATCGTGGACAAGAAGGCTTTCAAAGATCCAGACTCTGGCGTGGCTTATGTGGGCGATCTGATGTTCCGTGGTCATCCCGAGGAAAACCTGGACGAGTTCACTGCAAACGCAAAGAGCCCCTGGCAGTGCCTGGCAGGGTCTAGGTTTAGCCGCGTTCCGCATGTCATGCCCTCATCCTGCTGCGGCAGTTGTGGAGGAATAGTGGAGGAATAGTGTGGGAACAAGGGTTCATGACGTGCACGTGCTCGCGCACAGTCCTGCATGTCTTAGGTAACACCGGTAGCAAAAGTGACATGTCCCATGGCCATCAGCCATGACGAAGCAGCACATACCTGTGAGTTGTGACGCACCAGGGTGCTTACCGGGAGAAGAGCAGGAGTCCAACAGTCCAACACACTTGACCCAGCCAGCCAAGCCCTCAACGAACTCAATGGACACGACATGCAGGATCTTGAGTGGTCGATACGAGTTCTTGTTCGGCCGCCTCAGTCAGCAAATGATGCTGAAATGAAAGAAAGCCACTCGTTGTTGTGGTGCCTTTTTGGGGTCGCGTGCGCCGGGCAGGGGGCGTGCCTGTTCAGGCGCCTAGTCTTCCCAATGGCACCAGCCAATCCATGCCAAGACTTGTTGAAGGCGAAGCAAAAGCATGTGCCGTGATGAGTTTTTGCTTGGCCAATACATTCAAACGCATCGCGGCTCGCTCGATGACAGTCCCCTCGGAACCATCTAGGGGCATGGCTTCGCATGAAGCAGATTGCGACCAGAGGGCAGCGGGGGTGTGGGCGTGGGTAGGGACGCACGCGCCCAAACATGAATGTTGTACAAGATGGGTAGACAAAGTCAGTTCCCTTGCTATCTTGCTATGGAGCCCCCTTGAGCTCACGTTGAGTGAGGGGGAGGGGGGGGGGGGGGGAGGCCGCGCAGCTGGCCGCATGGTCGAGCTTTGGGGTAGGGGGTAAGCCCCCACATTGCGGGGGGAGGCGGGCTTCCAAATTTCGAGCCAAGTGCCTAAGCGCCTTTAAGCGCCTTTCGGCACAAGCACCTAAATTTTGAACCGGCGTCGTAAGCGTCGTTAAGCGCTTTTCAGCGCCAAGATGGACAAGCCTGCCCCGATCTGTCGTTGGAATGGGCCCCACTTCAACAAAGAGTGTTACCCGGAACGGCATGCGCCTCTGAGCTGTTCCTCAGTTTTGGAAGCACTCGCTGGTGTTGCTGCGATCTGAGGTTATGTAGGCGAGGACCAGAGCTTGCTCACTGATCCACTGGCCTCCCCTTTCTTTGCAACAGTTGAGGAGCTGGGAGGCCTTCGATGCTGGTGAACCGAGATTTGCGGTAGAGCTAAAACTTCACTATTGTTAAGTTGCGAAATTTTGTTCGAATTTCAAAGGCAATCGGTTGCCCTCTGAGGTGGAGGCATTCCACCTTTGTTTTTTACAGTGGGTGGCTCAGAGTCCATTCTCGGAGACAGCATGATCCTGGCTCAGAAGGCGGCCTTCTATGGAACCAGCAGTCTGGCGGCACTCTGCATGTGGGGAACGTTAGTTCGAATGTTATGAATATGTTCTTGCAGTATCACTCTCTTTCATCACACTTTTTGGCTTTGTATCCGTCTGCTCCTTCTGTGTGAGTGAGCCCCCTAGCGAAAGTCAAGGCCCAGTGCGAGCACTGGCAGAAGCTAAGGCGTTCACCTGGATGTCAATGTTGGCATGTGGCACGACTTCCCGATGTACTCCGAAGGTTGTGGCGGCGAGCAGCCGTTGTGGCAGGCATCTCTTGACATCGAAGTAGACGACATGAACTCTACGTTTGAGCCGAGCGTCACGGACTTGTGCAAGTTGCGTCCCCGCTTGTCACGCTTTTTCGGAGTAAATTACAGCGTGTAAAGCGTTATGTTTTCCTTTTGCGACTTATCTTAGGTCTTAGTAGCCCTGCAGTGCCTACTTCAGAAAAATTCCACGCCGAATCCCACCGAGTAGCACCCCCAGAGAATTCCGCAAGAATCCCGCCAATCATCACTGGAGAGAGTCCCGCAGTGAATGCCACCGAGTATCCCTGCAGTAGCCCCGAAGAATCCGGTCTTCGGCTCGGTACCTTTGGCAAGTTGCAAGTGCAAAGCTACTATGTTGCAGGCTGCGAGCGCACTCAATCGTGTCTCAGCTAAACTAAACCAATCTGCTACCATGTTGTGTGCATCCTGTGAAACACAGGAACAGCGGCATTCATCAAGTACGTAGCTGCTGAGAAGCTGACTGCGCAACGACTTGGCTTGATCTGGCCGCCTGCAAAGTCAACACCCGGCACACCCCACACCAGGCGCTGCAATATGCTGTAATCCAGAGTTTTGTGTTACGAAAACAGCGGAATGCTATTCAGAATCTTGAGCAGCTCTGCCTTGGCGAACGAACTGGCAGGTATATCTATGACACCACAAGGCCTGGAGCCAGCAGGCGATGGGGAGGGTGTTCAACAGGGACAGGGATCCTCTCTTTGTCCCTTCTTTAGCTGCTGAATCTGAATCTTTGCTTTCATGTTCGGCCGTTGCTCTGCGCGTCAGGTGGTTTCCGAAAGAGGTTGTGGACGAAACCACTGCGCCGCTAGCGTTCGCAGCCGTAGATGGATTCCGCGAGATGGGGCGCCTGGGCATTGTTTGCTGGTCGCTGAATGAAATTTCGCTCATGTCCTATCCGTTTTTTGTCAGCACTAGAAAGCTCTTCCGCTTCAGAGTTGTTCTGAGGTGGCCTTCTGCTACGCTGGCAATGCGACCTAACCATGTTGGTGTCCACGCCCCGCTTGTCTTGTCTGGACTGCTTGGAGCCATGGTTTCCCTTCTAATCTATGGCATCTGCGCCAAGCATCAAGATCGACAAGATGCCAAGTCCTCCTTCTTGGCTCCTCTAGTCGAGCCATGAGCTCAGAGTCGCATCCATTGAACCCGCAGGCTGCATTGCTCCAATTCGGGCGTTGACAGCCAACGGGCGCGTCGGCCTTCTGTACAGTGCAGCGCATCGAGTGCGCAGCAGAGCGTGACGTGATCCACAGCTTATGTGGCTCACGTCGGGGATCCGCGGGGATGGCATCGGAGTGGGACCGTGCCACGTTCCCACTCGCGCGATGTCAGAAGCTGGACGTTGCAAAACATCTTGCCCAGCACTTCACATGCTCTGCCCCTACAGAGAGAAGCACGTGCAGGGGTCCGACTTGCCCGAAGGGGAGCAGGACTCCATGATCAGAGTCTTGGCAAAAGGAGTCTCTGTACGTGCTATGCATGCGGAGGGTGTTCATCTGAGCAAAGGAAGAGCATTTCTGTGGTGCAGCCTCCTTATTATCCTTGTTTCCTGTTTGCAAAGCTCGCGTTGCGAAAAGCCCGGTTCCACTCTCGCTCGCTCCCATTGGCCAGGTTCATGACGGATCTTCTTGTGGATCACAGTCGCTTCACCAACGGAAAATTCGATGGTGGTGGGGAGCTTGACATTGTCCAGGTCCGCCTGTAGATGAATGTTGCAGAAGCGTATACAGGGCACCGTACTTGCAAGTGCTTACCCGCGCCCTCGGCAGCCGGGCCGGCTCATGATAGGCCCAAAAAAGTGAAGCTCTCTCATGGGCGGTGTTGAGTTGTTGGGGGGCTGGGAAAGAAGTAAGGGGACTAGATGGGTCTGCTCGTTCCAGACGGCTAACGCATTTTTGACGCAAATTTTCCTGCTCAGCGGATTTCGTTGTTGTGGCCAAGGATTCGACCAAGCTGGATTTTTAGCCAAGTGCGTCGGGCTTAGGCTCAGGAATCTTCAACATGACAGTGAGTCGGGGCTTGAGCGGGCCTTTCTCGTCGTTTTCGAGGCTCTGAAACGGAGCGCCCCTTTCTGAAAGAGCTCACTTCAACACAGATGTGGGCCAGCTGGATAAGCCTAGGGCTCAGAGCTGCACATTACTCGCCGGTCGGCTGAACACCAATTTGCCAATAAGCCTCAGTCAAGAATACGCTTGAAGTGGAAGGCCGGCGCTTGGCATCGGGTGAGGATTCAAAGGACATCGTTTTGTTCGACGAAGTCATTGTCCACGGCTTAGCTGATGGAATCCATTTGATGTCCGCTATCGCGGCATGCCATTTTGAAAGGCGCAAAAGCTGAACCGAAAGACCTTCACGCTCAGCAAGACGGCCGAAACCTTAACTGCATGAGCCAGTTTGCATTGGTGATACGTCGCCCCGATCATCGCAGATCCCTCTCAGGCCACGCCGTTCCTGAGCTTGGATTTCTCCGAAAAAGGATCGCTTGCCGTCGCTTGCCTTGGGTCAACGCCTCACATGCGTTCCTATCCGTCACAGGCCACTACCGCGAAGTTCGAGTTCCGGACCCTCCAAGAGGAACTGTGTGGGTCCGAGAGTAGAAGCTGCGGGCTCCTTGAAAGACAAAATCCTCTCTGACGATACCGTCCTTTCTTCCTCAGGTGGAGCCCGAAGATCGCTGTGGCCAAGGCCACGTGCCGGGATATCCGGGAGAGGGGAACGAGAGAGGCTCATATGGGTATTAAAGGATGCGAAAGGATGCTAAAAGGTTTCTTCTGGTTTCTTCCTTGTTTCAGGCGCCTGGCGCCTAGAGGAGTCAGGCCCTCAGGGTCAAGAGAGGCCTCTGTCTCACATCTCCTCTGAGGATCTCACTTGGATCTCTTGGGTTCCTGAGGAGCCGACTTTACAAACCTCGCCCGATGGAGGAAGTGGGTGTGCAATGTCCGGCAATGTACGGTGTGTCTTAGATTTGGAGACTGAGCCTGTTGTGGTAGAGTGAGTTTTTTGAGCGCTCGCTGCAGGCGATGCTGAGACCTGAGAGAGAAGCCACCTTGTCGCGGCGCATCAATGTTTTCTGAACAGAACAGCGGGATGCCGACCTGTCTGTGGCATGGATCGAGGCCAGTCCCCACAGTTTCCGCAGAAAGGCGCTGCTCTCGCTTTGTGCTCTCGCTTCGTGCTCTCGCTTTGTGCTCTTTGTCTCTCTTTGTGAATTTGTGCAAATTCCATGCCGAGAGCCCGGTTGCCCTCTGCAGATTGTGGCGAATCGCTCTGTCAAGGCCTGGGGTTGTTCCTGCTCGCGATCCTCTGCCTGCTGCAACTTGGAGGATTTCTGTTACCGCTTGGCCCACGATGTATGAATATTGTTCAATGGCCTCAGCCGCTGCGAGCTAGTTGCATTCAACTTAGGCACCGCTCATGTGGTACGTGCAGCATTGCTGGCTCCTGACTTGGGCAGCCTATCTGCCCGATCGCAAGCAGCTTAGGCAAGCGCGACTGAGTCAGTAAATTTCTTCCCTCATGGCACTTTACGTTCCCAGGTCCAGAACAACAAGGGCTGCAATGGGCCAAAATGGACCTGTGCTCTTGCCTTACACCGTCTTACACCAGTAGTGAGTAGTGGGTGCTGTTGAGGCGAGTGAAATTGAGTTGTGCCAGGTCTGGGCGTTTTGCACAAGATGACGCCTGGAGATCCACGTGATCAGTATTGTCCCGAATTGGCGTGTCAGCTGTGGCAGCACGACCGACTGCACCCTCATGTGACTAAGATCGTCGCCGCCACCACATGATCTTGCTCTTAGCATGCTGGTTTGCAGCTGAGCGGTTGAACCTTGCTTTCTTGCTCTCACGGCTCAGCAGCCGCTGGCACAACACACGAGGCTGCAGCGTGTGCTCGATGTGGAGCCTTAAGAGTGGCCCGCTGCCCAGATAAAGACACAAGCGCACACACGCACAATGCATTGCATGTATAGCGAATACACAGCGACCGTACTGCCCATCCGAAGCACACGCAGTCATGTGCAGTTCAGCGAGGATCTGGCCGAGCGGCTTTTCACATGGATGAAAGCAAGACGGCTCGTCGTGCTCGGCTTAAAGTTTAGCGACAATGCCAGCTTTGCATTTCAGTTTCACGAACCGGTCCAACCCATGATGTGGCTCAAGATGACTGGAGGCAGTCTCAGGAGGGGGCAAGAGTTCTTAGCCATGCATTCCGGTGTATCTTCCGGCCGTCCCGGTATTCGCTCTTTCCACAAGACTGGCTCGGTCTACACGAGACTTGTGCTCATCCCTGCCACCCATGTCTCCGGTCATGCGAGCTCCACTCACCGGATGCATGCCGCGCTGGCGGTCTCACTGCATTTTACGTGTTGTCGCTGGCAGCGTCGCAGACCTCCAAGGGCAATCAGTGAGCCACTGAGTGAACCTCTTGGAGTGGAGGAGGCTTCTGCAGAAGAAATCGCTGAGTACGAGCTCGAGAAGGCAGTCGAAGCTGCTGAAGAAGCATCGGAGCGTGCGACAGATCCAAAGGCTGCGCGTGACTTTGATAAGTCCTCAAACGTGCTATCAGTGCTAGCGACACAGTGACAGTGGTTTTCATAAAGTGGATCTGCAGATTCATCCACGCTCTTGTAAACCTAATGCCAACAGTCCTGTTTTGGTTTCCTGGGTCCTTGTCAGTACTGGCAGGGTCCCGATGCACTGGCTTTAGCGCGGCTGCTTGCTTGGGCAAGATCGAACAAGCTGTTCAAGGTGCATCCTGCAGTTGTCGTCCAAGACTCTCAGCTCGTGGTCTCTGCGAAGATCGAGAAGGCTTGTCAGCCAGCAGTTACAGGTATATCGGTAGATAGCGGTATAGCGGAAAAATCGTGTCAGCGGTCACTTGCAGTCCAGCTGCCACCTTGACGGGCATGTCGAAACTGATCACAGGACAATCCGATTATCGGGCTGATGCCAGAGGCCCTCCTGTTTGCAGACCAAAGCTCCGAGAACGTTGACAAGGTCGATGCAGCACTCGAGCTTGCCTGGCGAAGGCTTGTGGAGGAAGGGCTGGTGAAGCGACCGGCTGTCGAGGCCACTGAAGTTCAATCTTGCCCATGGCCACCGCAGTACTTGCTCGCTTTGCCGCGGCGATCTGCTCAGCCGATCCTTTGGCAGCAGACCCTTGCGCCTTGGCATCTGCATGATACCTGTGCTATCTTGTGCTTGTCCTAGTAGGGTGGGTCTCTATTTCCCAGTTGCTGTTTTGCAGGCTTTTGGATTCTGCACTCCTTGTCGCAAGAAGCAAAAGCCTCTCACAGAGCATCGCCGCTCCCCCCTCTTACGCGTAGATGCTTCATCAGACCTGAAACGTTGCAAGGTTGACGAGCTGCAGGAGACAGAGATCCAACAGGAAGTGCAGATGCAATCGGAACGTGTGAATCAATGGTTCAATGACAGGTGCACGTCAGTGGGCGTCGATGCCAGCAAGCTCAGCAAGCTTCGCGAGCAGTTTGTAGAATCCTATGCAGCAGCCCTGGGTCGGGCCGCATGGTTGCAGGGAAGATGGGCATTGGCGCCTCTGATTGACTCCATCCAAGTACCGGGCACTTCAGCGGACCCTGATCGGGCTGCACTGAAAGCAAATTGTCGCTTGGAGTTGGAGGACATGGGTGGCGGCCGGCAGCTGCTAATGTTGGTTTCAAGTCGAACCCTCGAGGAAGGCGTCCCATTAGTCCGCGAGGTTGCTGCAACAGCCAAGCAGATGCTGTTGGAATACGGAACTGTCATCGAGGCAGATGCCAGCACTGAAATGATTGTCAAGGCTTATTTGGCAGAGTCGGGGCCTCAAGCAGCAGCAGTGCAGAGGCTTGTCAAAGGTGCACTGCCAGGACGCTTGTTTGGAGATGTTATTGTGAAAGGGCTGGTTAAGCCATTCGCTCGCTTCGAGGGAGAGGGCGGCACGCGTATGGACGATCTTGCCGCAGCCATTGGGGAGAGCTTCCTCAAGTCATCGTTGATCCTGTCTGCGAAAAGTCTGGACGAAATTGAAGCTTTAGAAGACGACGAGATCTGCGACTTCTTCGTCTCCCTGACGGGCGAAGAGAAGCGATGCTGCCTCCAAGAACTTCTTAAACTGATGGGGAGCTGCCTGGGAGAGTTCACCACAACATTGGCAGACGATGAGAGGCTGCTGCGTGCGCCCTCATCGAGAGGCTGCCGGCGCTTGGCCGTCGCGTTTCGGCAACAGCGCAAGCAGGCTCTGAGGCTGGGTTCATGTAGCTTTCTCGGCAGATGGTTGGGCGAAACGTTTGCGTAAATCAGTAAACAGTATGGCAGAGCAAGCTGCGCTCGGAAGTCACGTGTCGACACGCTGGCTCCTCAAGTTAAGAGGCACACCCCACATGAAGCGAGTGAATCAGACGTCAAAGAAAAGCTGCAGCAAACACAATGTGCAGGCAACTCATCGAAGAGATTGGCGAGGCTGCAGACAGAGCACAGGACATTTAAAAAGGCATTTAAGTAATTGCATGTATCACGTATTGGCTGCCTCTCCACATCCCAACGCAGTACGCAGGACTCGGCTGGGCTGCCCTTCGCGGTGATGGGAAAACGATCCGAGGCTTCATGAGCCTAAGGGCACCTTTGCATCACCTTTGCATCCTTTGAAACGCGGAAGTGAACACTGCGGGCGGCTTTGGAGAGGGCTTTTGGCGGCGAGGGACGGTTGCCATGTTTCGAGGACCCAAAAGCTTGTGGGCCGGGCAGGTCAAGATCTCCAGGGGGTACACCAGGACAAAGTCTAGCGAAGACCAAGTCAATAGCATGAGCTCTCTCGGAAAGATCTCGAGCAAGAAAAAAGGGTGTCCGAGCATAGCATCTCGGCATATCTCGGCTATTGCACATGCCGAAAGCAGCCTCTCTCTCTCTCTCTCTGTCTGATCTTCGTGTCAAACCCCGCGACAAGCTGAAGCTTCAGGATGTTTCGGGTTGAGGCGGTTCTTCTCGTTCGTGACATCTAGTGACAGCTGGAGGCTCGAGCCTACATAGCCTGCTTGAGCTCACCGAAGCCCCTGATCGATGATGTAGCCTCTGAGGGAGGCTGGATCATTGGACTCATGCAATCATCTTCGTGCAATCACCTTCGTGCAATCATCTTCGTGCCATGCTTTGGTCCAAGGATGCTCATTTGACGGGGTCCACGATTTCAATATATTGCCGAAATATCTGCGAACTGACGTCGGGCATTTCGAGGCATGCGAGCAAAGCAAGAGCTGACAGCAGAGCTGTGTGCCGTACGTGTAGCTGGATCGCTTGGGCCTGCCAGTTAACGGATTCTTAATTGGCGGTGAACATGCCGCATCCACTTGATGGTGAACACTTTGCATCCAGAGTATACAGTGGGGCAAACGTAGTTATCAATGTGATTGTCCTTGCTTGCTCTGCCCCGCTGTGGCATAAGATGGCGTGGGCGGAAGTCGCTGTGAAGAATCTTCTGAAATAGCATGCAGCAAAACACCTCCTAGTGAAGCTAGCTGATGGCAGCATCGATACGGAATACGACGACACGGCGCAAGAGAGCCCTTGGTCGCTGCCAGCAATGTGATTGCCAAGCTGAACTTTCAACTGCTCGCACAAGTTCGCCTAGACTCGTAGACCGGGGCAAGCCTGCATCAGATCGTTGGGGACATTGGCGAAGACGTTCTGAAAAAAAAAACAACCAATCACTAGAACCTGCAGCGATAAAAAGCTGAGTTGCATGATGCGCTCGGCCCCTGCGACTTCTGAAGTCCAAAGAGCCAAGGCAGCGACGCACCCGCAGAGCCTGTCAGTGTTCTTCGAAAGATTCGTCCAGCTATGTGCCAGTACCCCGGATCGAAAGTACTCGAGAGTTGCCTTAGCTTCGAATGCGTGCAAGGCCTCGGACACCAGTCGCCACGAAGGTTCCAAGGGACCACCTCAGGCGGACACCCTGCGATTTGTTTTCAAACAGGCACGCTTCCCGGGATCACTGGGGTTTCTGTGCAGGAGCCCCTCGTGCCTCAGAGTCCAGGCAGCGTGAGTTTATCCTAGACTTTCGCGAAAAATTGAAACATCTGCTGCTGTCCGGAATTTCGAGAATTCGGAGACAGGTGAAGGATCACAGCCCGGGGGCCCAGCGTCTCTAGAGTTGCCCTGAACTGATCCTTTGCTGAATCGGGGCCATCGGCTGAACTGGGGACCAGGGCTGGCGATGCCATGCGGTCACCAGGCTCATCGCAGATGCCAGCAGATGTCAGCAGATGTCAGCAGATATCAGCAGATATCAGCAGGGTGCAGTCACCCCAAAGATTCCCAATCAGGGCGCTCGCCGCGACGCCCATTGAATGTGCGCGCCATAGTTTGATGCCCGTTTTCTGGAAGGCCCGAAAGCGCGTGTGACTTAGACATTCGAAGGCAAGCCTGCTTCTCTTCCAGGACAACCCGCCTAGTGTGGAGGGCCGCTGATGCTGTCCGACACTGCTTGTCCGGTGCCTCCCCTGCAAACAAGCCTCCAAGGACTTGAAAGCTCGACCACGGATTGAAAGTGCTCCAAAACCTGCGTTGGCCTCTCAAACAGGGCCTGGCAGCTAGTAGCATCTTGCCGTAAGATGCCGTGCAAGATGGGACATGGGCGGAGACCGTGAGGCTACCGCGGCTGACCTTCAGCTTGCAGTGCAGATTTTGCACAGGCATGTCTTGGCTTGGGCAGGCTTTGGCCATCTTGACATGACCTGCTCTGCCTGCTTCCGTAAGGCAAACTCAGCCTAGAAGACGTCGACATCCAGTGGGCGCGTGTCGGTGCGGAGGCACCCCTGCAAGTTCCCCCACGTCTGTACTGCAAGCCGTTGTGTTGTCTTGCTTGGGTAGTTGGTCGGTGGCACCGTCTTGATACCATATTTCAGGCTTCCAGCAACTTTCAATGTCCACATTGCCGTGCTGAGCCGTTCCGACCCGTGGTGAGAAACATCTGAGTTGCCCGGAGCCTTTCTACCTCGTGGCCGAGGTCTACGCTGAAACTGACTGTGGAGACAGCATTGGCCTCATCCTGCTTTGCTCCAGCAGATGCTTTGAGCAGATGCTCTCAGCAGATGCTCCCAGCAGATGCTCCCGGCACATGCTCTGACTTCCCTGTGCTAAGGGCTCCCGGGATCCCACGGAGATAGACCTTCTCCACCCCAAGAGGCCATGCGTCACGATTGCAAAATCTACTTGGCACCGGTGAGCTAATGTATTGTTCACATCATGTTCACATCTCCAGGCTTGCCTTGGCGTTGAGGGAGCTGGACTCCTTGACAGGCCAGACGGGTTGGGCCTCTGTGGCTTGGGATCTGTGTTGGTTTTTGAGGTCCCGAATGGTTGGCGAGCCCTCTCCTCAGTTTCGCTGCAGTTCCAGTCACGACGCCCCTGCCTTCTGCTAGCCTCTGACAACCGGCTTGCCTTTCCAGGACTAGCCAGGGACTATCCTCACTGGCGTCTGAATTTGCTGTCGCTTGACTGATGCTTTGGGATTGCACTCCTATTGCTGAGGGTTGCTCTGAAGCTCCGGTCTCAAGGCCTAAAGCAACATATCCACGAAAGTCTTGCGATGGGTCCTGGAAAGGAAAGCGAATGTCCGCGAAAGTTATTACGTTTGACCAAGGGCTAATATAGACTGAAACACAGCATGCCCTCGTTCTCGTTCTGCAGGCATCCAGGTACCAAGCCCCGCATGAGCAGCCAAGCTTGTGAGCAATTGCAGTTTTTGCTCCCAGCCTCAGCGTCAGAGCATGTCAGGTTTTGGACAGACGTAGTAGTTCTGTCCGCGAAGCCCACGAAAGATCCGCGAAAGTTGCCGTGAAACACAGACCTGCAAATCAATGGCTGCTGGTGCTGCCGCTGCCGCCGCTGCTGCTGTTTCTCTTCCTACGACTACTATCACTATTTCTGCTACGAGTATTTGCTATTACTATGACCATGAATATTGCTATTTCCAGAATCATTACCAATGTTTACTTTAGTGGTAGTGGTGGTGGTAGTGGTAGGAGTGGTGGTGGTAGTGGTGGTGGTAGTCGTAGTAGTCGTCGTAGTCGAAGTAGTCGTCGTAGTCGTCGTAGTCGTAGTAGTCGCAGTAGTCGCAGTAGTCGCAGTAGCCGCAGTAGTCGCAGTAGAGTAGTACTAGTACTAGTACTAGTATTCTAGTACTAGTACTAGTACTACTACTTCTACTTCTACTTCTATTACTTCTACTACTTCTATTACTTTTTCAACTACTTCTACTACTTCTACTACGTCTACTACTTTTACTACTTCTACTACTTCTACTACTTCTACTATTACTACTAGTGCTAATACTTCTACTAGAACTACACCTACACATGGGGCGCGAAAGAAATCGCCACATTCCGCGAACAAACCAATTCCAGTTGAAAGGATGTTGGTCAGCTCTCTGCTCCGTTGGCACTTGAATCGAAGCTCGCCATCCGGTTCGTGCAAGCCTTCAAACACACACTGGCACACCGAGTGATACCCGAGGTGGCATTTTCGACGCCGCAGCCTGAATAGGGTCTGCGACAGACACGAGGACATAACTTTGTCAAAGCTGGACATCTGCCGAGGCTTTGGACTTTTTGATGAGCACTTGCTTGCAGTATTGGAGGCAGAGAAGGCAGCCGGTCAAACAGTGGCACGGGAGGTAATTGTAAACGCTTGCGCGCACCGCCGGCAGTCGGGCCGGCCCAACGCGTGGTGTAGCAGACGCAACGGTCCTAGGACGGTTTCGGCGGGGGCTCTCAACCACAGGGTTTTCGGTGCTCATGGATGGCACCCAGCAAACGGTTTGGTGGGTTCCACCAGCAGGCGGTCCCATAAAAAGGAGAGGTGTCCCAGGGATGTTAGGGGGTGCTCGTGGTCTCTGTGGGAGCCCACCGCCTGGAAACCCTGCGCACGGCACATTTCTGGGTTGGAATGGGAAAGGAAACCAGATCCTGGTTTGCTTGTTCTGGACGCTTCTCGGCTGGAAGCCGAGACGAATTTTCTGGGTCGGGTCATGCTGAGCATTTAGGCCATGAGCAGAGAGGGTGCAGTCTAACCAGTGCCGTCGGAGTTGTTGTTAGTTTGCTTCGGGGGCTGCCATGGCTCAGGCACACAAAGGTCTCACTACCGATGGCATGGCCGCCGACATCTTGGAGCTCGGGAAAGGGGTGTATTCGGACATGATCCTCCAAAGTGCCATAGCGCCATTGAAATGAATGATTTAACGTCAGATGTGGACTCTGCAGGTCCTGCAAGGCCTAAAAAGATAAGCAACAAAGATCAGCACAGTGCTGACAGAGGTTCGAACCGACACCCGCAGCCGGCTGCGCTCAACCAGCGCCCCGGCCTCAGCTTGGAAGTCCTGCTGCCTGGCGTGGCGCTTTGGGGCCCTAATTATTTTACAAGGATGTTCCCCTTTAGCTCTCTCTGGCTCTCTACACTCCATTCGTTTGGTGATCGCAGCTCGCGCCAGCACCGATCATGGCGTCCAAGCTGAGGACACCCTGTCTGTGTCGGAGACGTTGCAAGGTCAAGTGGGGACTCTGAATTCAGTGTGACCGACACGCTTCACGGGTCCAGTGGGGAAGAGCTGGGCCAGCGGAGATTAGCATCAGCTGCGCAAAGATCAAATTGTTGACATGCCGAGCATGTGATGCGTTGGCTTTGTCTGAGCAGTGCGCATATTCAGGTCCTGAGCCTGCAGAGCCCAGGAGGTACTCTCGGAGGAACCTTTGAGGCATTTGACGTGATGTGACAAGTCATGAGACGGGTGACGTATGGTGACGTGATGCGACGTAGGATTGTGCAGAATCTCTTCTGAGAGGTCTTGGGCGATGGCCCGAATGGGATTCATGAAGGTGCCCAGCCTGTGGCCTTTGAGCCCAGTGCGCGCCCTTTGCATGTGCTTAGGCATGTCCAGACGCAACAGTGCAAGTGGGTCAGAGTGCGGAGCCCACATTGCTCTTCAGACAGCTTTTTGCCGCGTCACTGCGGTGTGATATGGTGCAGCGTGATGTGGTCTGCGGCGTGGACCGGCGTGCAAGCTTCAGGCTTCAGGGGTCATCCAGTAAAACTATCCTGTCCATTACGAGTTGCTAGCACTGCGTCTCGCAGCCCCAGTCCGAAAGCCAAGCAAGACTCACCAACTGAAACAACTTGATGTCGGCCATGAAGTCGAGTCGGCCACATCGGAGCAGTAACAGAGACTACCGCTGCATCGTGTGATGCATGGTGAATTCACTCGGCCATGTCTGCCGATTCGTGCAAGCTGGAGATATGGCTTGACTGCCGGTTCTCCGGCTCGGATGGGCCCTGGCCTCATGTTACTCATGTTGGCTGTGACGTGCGGTGACCATCTCATTCGAGCTCCAGGCCAGCACCGCTAGCCTGTGGCTTGGCTAAAGAATCCAATCAAAGAATGAGAGAATCTTCAACAGATTCTGGATGCTCAGATGCACAAAAATTGGACATGACCTGATCCAGACTGGGCGAACAGCTGCTCCTTTCAGGTGATCGGCGTCTCCTTTATAGTGGGGCCACGCCTGGGAAACGCGACCTGGTGTGCGGTGTGGCCTGACTGCAAGCAAGTTCATGGCCAGCTTTGCCATTGTGGCAACTTCGCTGTTGGAAACCAGCCTCCACATTATCCACATTCACGCAGCACATGCCACCCGGCCCGCCCCCTTGAATTGCAGGCGGCAGGACGTGTCGAGGATTGCGATGGCAAAGAAATGGGCGCTCCTGAGCTGAAGGTGGACCTAGGTTTTATCTGGTAGTCCGCAAGGATGTTTGTGAGCGGCTGTTTTTATTCGACATCTTTCACCAACGTGGCCGCCCACTCAGGTTCTGTTCATCGGATCTGGAGGAGAGGTTCACAAGCATGCCCTCGAGATAATGGGACACGTTGACTGGGCAGCTTTTCCAAACTGAGTAGGTGCTTTGACAGTTTTGACCGATTCGCCCTGTGTCACACTGTGATGAGTCGGATGCGGGGCTTCCTCCGGTTATGGAGAGAAGCCCAGCCCAAGGTCATCTTGCAGGCCTTGCCCTCGGTGCAATGCTGGCTTGTGGCGCCGGCTTCTGTGAAGTCTTGAGCTGGGACAGGCTGACTCCCTGGTTCCATCAGACGGATTGCTGGCTGCCAGTAGCAGGCTCCACCAAGTGACCTTACCGGGCTGTAATTTGTCTTGGGTGTTACCGCGCTTTGCAGCCCTCGGGCAAACTGCGAGGCATGGGACACGGCTGGCTGTTGTGCTCAGCAACGAGCTCCTCATCAGCACAAAGATGGTCTCACGTTCTAGATGAATGCAGGCCCATGAACCATACCTAGCCCAGGCAGCACCTGGAGGACTTTGAGCCGGCGCTAGCCAGGAGCAATGAGCTGGTGGTCCAGAGCCATGCCATGGCTTGGCAATGCTTGGCATGTCACGAGTCTCACGAGTCACAACATTGTTGAAAGTGCCAGGACCGGTGCGCTTGTAGTGTCTGATGACACACTACTGAACAAAGCCATGGTGAAGCGCATGGCCGCCTGGATTCAATATGAGCATGCCTCGCAGGGATTTTTGCCTCTATCCAAAGTTGACTCACTTGTGCACTCGCTTTGTCGTAGGGGCGGAGGGCTTAATGAAGCTGGTTTCGACACATGCCCAGGTCTGCAGCCAATGGAACCTGAACCCTGAAATTCGTATATCATTGCATGAGAAGGAGTGCTTTTCCTGTTACCGGCAACTCCCAAGACGCTTACAGCCGCTACAGCCACACGCGTCAGCTGATTCAGGCGATGAATAAGTCAGAGTCGCCGATGCTGAACACGGTGCCCCAGCTGCAACAAGCCTCGAACGGAAGCTACGACATTAGAGGTGCACGCGTCAAGTTGTGGAGTTCTTGAATTTGCTCCAGTGTCTTGATGTGGGCTCTATGTTTCTGCGGTAGAAACCCCGGCAAAGAACGACCAAGAATGGTTTAGTCCAGGGTGTTGGGGAAGGTTGTCGCCTCTCGCTTTCCAACTTCTGCTTTCTGGCCAGCAACTCTGTGTGAGGGGATCGGAACCCAAGCATAAATCATAGTGCACTATGCGCACGGTCGAGGAGCCTGAGCTCCAAAATCCAATCATGAATCCGAGATCTGCAAGCCTGAAACGTGGGCATTCAGCATGGGGGAGCTTGTATGGTGCCCATTCTGGTGCAAGTGCAATCATGCAGCTGAGGTGTGCGGCGGCATCTTCCTTCCTGCTGCCGAAGAGCTGTCCTTACCCCTTCCAGCCTTAGGCATCGGTGCGCATGCGGAGATACTCTAGGAGGCACGGCGCGCGCATACATAGATATAGATATAGATATAGACATAGATATAGATACAGATATAGATTTGGATATGGATATGGATATAGATACAGACAAAGAAGAAGATGTAGAAACTATTGACCCCCCCCCCGGCACAGCTAGTCTAAGCACCCTGTGCTTTTCTTAAGTATGCGCTGAGCAAATGCTAGAGCTACCAGATTGGCTTTACACGTTTTCTCTGTAGAACTCGACCACATCGGCTCAGCAGCTTGTCTTGAACAACCCAAAACCCAAAAGCCGTCGTTATGCGTGTTTTGCTGTAGTGTGTGCTAGTGTCTTTATCGCTGAAGGGGAAAAAGTCACGCGCCTCTTTGATTGTCAGTATTTGCCAAAGCAAGTTGCACGATGATTGTTTCCCAACCGTACTGCCTCTTAATCACGAATGTTGTGATTCTTCTCGTTAGCAGAATTGAGGGCACCTTCTACTAGCTAAACAAGCTAAATTGCGCACTCGCCTTGTTTGCCATTAACATCTCACATTTTCAATTCAGTTTTACTTTGGACAAATGAACATGATGTTATAGAACCTTGGGGGCTTCTAACCTTGCTTGGATGAATTGGCCTTTCGAATTTTCGATACGGATGATCTCACTAATTTACACAAAGAGACCCAGTCTTATGAGTAGGAAGGCGAATATGGTTCAGGGGAATTTGCGTTAGCGAAATTTAGATATTCTCCATTCGTGTTTTGTTACTGAACATAGGATCATGTCTCCTAAGTATTATAATCAATGGTTCGAGAGATTAGTAGTGTTTGAAGGTCGCCCCCAGCATTCACAGTAAAGAAACACATTCAATCTAAGCCACTTTCCCATGATGTGCTGGTACGGTTTGAAGTTTGGAGTTTACTTGCAAAATAGACCGCTGAAAGTTGAGACCTGCGGGAATGCTGTAGTGGAAGCACAGAAGTATGTGGCAGCACCACGGAGGAACGAATGTTTTGTCTGCTCGCAGTCCCGATGTCGGATGTCACTTCAGTGCTGGTGGAATATTGTGGTAGTCAACATCTACGTGCGTGTGCTACAGCCAGACGCCTTCCGCATCATAGTCATGTCGTATTACGGAAGAAATGTTGCAACACAAAGAAACAAAAAGGCATGCAGTTGAGGTGCAATGTGTACATGAAGCCTCTATAGTAGATGATAAGCAAGAGGATTTCTTATAAGCAAAATGATTGCTTGTGAGCAGCCTAGGCAGTCCCATGCTTACGTAGAGTTCACATATGTGGATTCCTAAAAGAAACTCCACACCTGAAAGAAAAATCCACAGCTGGACATAGACACAGTGAGCCGCACCTGAGGTGGAAACCGGAAGTTCCGCAAAAGCAAGCGGAAAACCAGAAACCAACACACAGATTCTTGCAATCGTCTCAAGGTTGCAGACCAGTGCAAGCATCTTCGTTTGTTTTATTGTTTCTGTTTTGTTTGTATTGTTTGCTCGAATGCTAGGTTTCTTAGTTTCGGGAATGCAAGCGGGCATACCGAGCCTACTGACCACACTGGGGACCAACGACGAAGAAATGAACTGTTTGTGTCAAGGCCAAGGTTTTTCTGGGGAAAGGGGGGGTTTTGGACAGCGGCTAGCACCATAGATTTTTATACACGCATGTGCCGCATACCCGCATCTATTTATTGTGATGTTACATGCTATAGTCTATTTCCCACAGTTTCACATTTCCATTCAAGGAGCTGAAGCTGGTCACCGTGGAGTCTGTTGAAGTGGTCAGCGGCCACTCGGCCATCGCATGCACTCCGCCTGCTGTGTCCCAATGCCTCCACAAGAAGAGCACCCTATCAGTAGCAACTGACAAGCTCCTTTTTTTGCAGAGCCCAGGTGAAGCCGACAGCCCCTTGCTTGCATGAATGTTCGCCGTTTTCTTTCGATGTACATGCCCTCTTGGAATGGTCAGGGATGCGCCTTCAGGAGTTTATCTGGACATGATCAGCATGGTGCAAGATGGCGAGGGAGCACTGGTGGGGTCTACGGCCAAAGCGTTATGCTACCCAGCGGCACAGCAGGGCGTCTCAATAGACGTGGCCCAGTGGAAATGCTGAAAGCCCAAATCCTTTTGGCTTGTAATTCTATTTCGCAAGTTGAAGGCTTCGTCCACGCGGATTCTGGAGGACGTGCTTTCAGAATAAATGCAGGCCCTGTGCATGAAGCTCGGCAGAGATGAATATGTACATGTTTCTGTACCATCGTTCGGCAGCATTGGGGATCCTGTAGCCAAGGCATACGTGGCCCTTCCTGACGGACGTACCAAATACTTGAGAGACTCAGCATCATCTGGGCTTGAGCAGCTTGTGCGAGCTGAGCTATGTTGAGCATCGCTCCAGGTGACGTCGAAGCTGGTGACCAGATCTTGATGGTTGATCTGGGGAGAGGTGGAGGTGGAGCCCCTGCCAGCCGTAGCGCCTCAGCTTCTGAGAAGTTTAAGCGGTAGCCGCCGGTAGCATGCCTTCAGCAAAGCAAAATTGCTGATGTGTCGTCCTGCACGGAGTGCAAAGGTGTGAATGTTGGCCGATGCCAAGTGGAGCGCAGACAGGTTGCTCGAATCCGTTTGCACTTTGATGGAGAGCATAGCTGCCCGGCTGGATCGACTTGAGAGTCCTGCCATGTGCCTGCACATCGTGGTTTTTCTTCGCTGCACGCAAGGTCAACTGTTTCTAGAATGGATCGACACCGTTCGCCTTCACGGTCGGCGCGTGCCATGGCCGAGCAAGTAAGCCACACGTGCAATGTTGCTCTCGGTAAAAATTTGGGAATGGCCTGGAATAACGGAATACCGTAGCTTTAGTGGAGTGCCCACACACGCTTGGCTGGACAAAAGAGCCGGAGGCCGCAGATCAGGGTCAAGCGTGCTCCCCGCTGCCAATCACGCAGCTCCGAGCAGGCCAACCCAGTTCATGTCAGCTTCCAGCTATGTCAGTTATAGTATGTTATAGGCAGATGTTGCAGATGGAAAGCAGTTGTAGAGGCGACGAGATTCTGGTCCACTGGGCAAGTTCCAGCCCGTCCCGAGCTGTACATACAGTGCACTCCATACCGTCTGAGAAGTAGTCGCTTACTCGCCAGTGTCAGGCACCCATTCGGTTTCGAGGGCAAAAGCAGCCGTTTTTCTGGTATGGGTGCATGTCTAGACAGCCGTCAGCATGCAACGGTCAGGGAGTCCGACCCCACGGGGTCGGACGGCTGTCCCAAAGATGCCTTGCACGGCCAGCAGAACCGGCAAAGCCGAGCATCTCACGATATCCTACACATCCTTGCTGAGCGAAGCGGCCGCCAACAGGCATGTTGTTTTGCTCGAGAGTCGCGGATCGAGATCAGGACGCCAAGTTGTAATCATCCTTGGAATAGCTACGCATGCTGGTATGCTGAAGAAGTGTTGTGTGTCCTACATGAGGTTATGTGTGGGTTCCGGAGCGCTGCTTCGGCCGTCATGTCTTCTCATGCCTTCTCATGCCTCTGGCTCTTTTTTCAACAAAGGACGGGACTCCGATAGAGATGGCTGCGAGCGGCAAGAAATAGTGACCGTGCCAATGCTCCCAAGATCGAGCAGATGACAGATGATGACAGGGTTTCCAGCAGACAAACTGCACTGCTGTGCTGGTGTGCTCTTGCTTTGCTTTTGCAAGGCCAAAGTTGCCAACCGGCGCAGAGGCCTTCCAGATCACCTGATGCTTGTGTTTTTGGTGTCCCAGACTTGGACCCGAATGGGGAAAGCGGTGAGGTCAACCAAGTCCTCACAGTGGAGCGGCTCAGGATGGAGTTAGAGGCCGACCGTGGGCGGAAGGCGCGTCAATGAGCGTCCATGCGCAGTTGCTTTTCCTCAGGACCTCCGGAGTCAGCCCAGAGCCAAGCGGTCAAGATAAAGCAGACGAGTTGCAAGTCAACAGGGGTTCAAGAGTAGCTGTTCAAGAGTAGCTAGGTCTTTCGACGTAGGATCGTAGTAGGATAGTACAGACAGCACTGCAGCTGCTGCATCGCGTGCATGAGCATGGTCAAGCTTTCTGAGTGGCGCCGCATGTTTGCAAGATTTCGTAGCTGTTGCCGTATGCCGTGGCCGTGTCCATGGACCTAAGCTTCCAACCGGAGGCTAGACCGAAGGACTCAAAGGCAGGAGGAGCACGAAGAGGCGGGGCCGAAGGCCGAAATAAAAATAACATGCAATGAATCCAATAACTTGCAAGACTCCTCAGTCCTGCGAAATCTGCATCTGCCTCATATGAGTCTTGGCACTGGCAGGCTGCCTCTGCCGCAAGGAAGGTGCTGGGAAGAAGCTACGGCAAGGTGCAAAATAGCGCAGAATACAGATGCCATAGGTTTCAATAGATGCCCCTTCAGAGGGCGTTTACAGCGACTCCTGGATGTGGCAACGGGGTAACGTAACGTAACGCTCAGGTGCTTGACAAGATCCAGAGCGAGGGCATGTGCAGCGAAGCGCAGTCCGAGGCGCAACGGGCGCTTTGCATAGCGAAGTTGACAAAAGAGTGCTGGGACCCAAAAAGGGTCGTCAAATGTCATCAAGAGTCATCAATGATCTGCAGTTCGCCCCATGCCAGGCTGCCACAAGTGCACGACAGTTGCTGGGGCGAGCATACGGCAAGGTGTGCCACCTTTGTCGTGTCACCGAACTCCTCGGGTGGCTGATCTCGCTGACATGTGTCTTTGATGTTGAGCGAAGCAGTGCAGAGAGAGCCATCCACATTCTGGAGAAAGGTACTTGAGGACTTCGTGGTGCTTCCTGCGGAACCTCGTCCTTGTGAAGGTGCTGTTGTGCCGGAGGCTGGCCCAGCATCTTTCTCCTGTTCCGTGAATGATGGGGTTTTGTTGTGCAGGAGCAAATGGTCCTGCGCTGTGTGGCAAGCTTAGCTTGCTGAGCCAAATGTCCATGGTTTCCTTTTTTTTTTGATGGGCGCGACTGTGCAGCGCAAGTGTCCCTGCAGCATCCAGGTAGCTAGTGCAGCCGTGGCGCGGGTCTTATCTGGCACGCAGCTTTTGCACTCTTGCGTCCTGAGCCCTGGTGCGAGGCAAAAGCAGTGGCAAGTGCTGTTTGCAGGCCTTGATGTCAAGCGGAGTCTGCTGTCAATATTGCAGTCCAAGCATCACAGTTCCAACGGGAGGCTGCTGCCTGCTGGCTCGGCAGGCAGGGCCCTGCAATGGGCTTCCAGTCCTTTCATGAGATCTACTTTCCCCCGGCAGCCCGGCATGTCGGAAGGCCAGGTCCAACCACAATTGCGCCAAGTGCCTTGGCAGTATTACGTGACCGACATTGTAGTAGGTACTCATTCTACGGTCTTCCGCAAAGCACTTTCCCACCATTGTGGCGAATGCGGAGGCTCCGGATGCTGGTTTTCCTGACGCGGATATGCCCGACGACAGCAGGTGCCTGGAGAGCTTGAGTCCTGCATGAGTGCATGCGCACTGGCCCACACTTTTCGTCACAGGCCTGCAGTTGACCCGGAGAGATGCGATGAAGCGGCGGCAACCCCTCAGAGTCCTCAAAAAGAAGTGTCGGAAGGGTGCCAGAGGGAATCGGAGCTGGAAAAGAGCACCTGCCAGGGTTCCACGTCCCCCGGAGATGAGTCTACGGACGGAGCTCGGCACGAGATCCTATCAGCCGAGGCAGAATCTGGTCGTGGGCACGGTCATGATCCGGTCCTTCGGGTACAGGTTCCGCAAGGCTGGGACAAATTCAACCCGACGTCCAGCCCGAGCATTGATGCTGTTGATGGCGCCGCCGGAACTGCAGAACTGGAGCTCGAGAGCAGCCAGCTCGAGAGCAGCCATCATTCCGGCTTGGCCGATCACGAGCTCCGTGAGCGAGTCGACAGACGTCATAGAATATGGAACATACGCAAGATGCGGAGAGCATGGCGCGTATGGCGTACGGAGTGGGTCGAATCAGCATCTTCCTCGAACAAGAGTTCCTTCCCAGAACAAGGGACGGACAAGGAGGAGGAGACGGACAAGGAGGAGGCGCAGGAGGAGCAGGAGGAGCAGGAGTTGTCGGATTCAGCTTGCAGCCCGCCAGAGGGACCCAGAGATGCAGGTGAGGTTGCAGTTGATGCAGACGCCGAACGGGACAGTGAGGTCAAGACTTCCAAAGTACAGAGGTTAGTGGCTGAAGGAGCGGCTGTTTGCAAGAGCACCTCATCGGATTCCAACCTAGTGCCCACCGAAGACACCGAACAGGAAAGGCAACAGTCGGACGCATCCCAGCTTCAGCAGGTCACCTCACCTTCCACCAGCAAGCCAGAATCGCAAGCCACCGGGAAAGACTCCGATCATGCGATTTTAAAGCACGATGACAGGTTGGCTCACGATTCGGCTCACGATGGGCTTCTGCAAGTCCGGAAACCGCTCGCCCCTCCACTGGCCCCGTCGTGCGACGAACCATGGATTGCAAGGACTCCGGCCTTTGTACGCCTTGAATCGCATTGTTCTCTGCAGTTCAGTCATGCAAGCCGGACAAAGTCTCAAGAACTCGAGGAGGCGACATCCTCACTTCCAGCAGTCCGCACTTCTGCCCCACGGCATAAGCTGGACTGATGGCATCCGAGTGTTGCTGTGCATGCATGAGGACATGCATTGAGACGACAGCTGAGGGCTTCCGCTCGAGATTCGTGCGCAGTGCCGGTTCTCGCCTTACAGCTTCTAGGTGTGACGTGGATGCAAAGTTGCTTCTTTGAGAATGCGCTGTGCCGCTACGCTGCGCTCCGTGCTTAGCATTTTTTTTTGGAGCAGCGCTTGATGCTGTGCTCAAGTGACTCAAGAGGTAGTAGCTTCCACAGGAATGGCCAGTTGCTCTGTCAAGCACGTGGAGGGGCTGGGGCGTTGCCTCTTGGCCGATCAGGATGTAGAGTCAGGTATGGATGTCTTGGGGGAGGCCCCGCTTTTGGCAGCGGGCGCTGCCGAGATTGCACCAGACCTGGCCGATGCAGCCCAAGTGGTCATCAACGCAGAGAACGGCCCTTGGTCGTACTTTATGGTGGACGAGGCCGCCGTCAGGCGCCTGCTTGGTCTTTTGCGGGCGTATGCCAATAGTGAGACTGAGATCAAGCGCTCAGTTCTGGAACTGGATGATGGCATGGAAGCGGGTGCGGCGGCGTGCTTTGTTAGGAAGCTGTCTGCCCTCTTCCTGGAATGGGGTCTGCTTCCACAGCTGCGCAAGATGGAATTGCACACAGTTCTGTCACTAGTCTGCACGCTGGACGGTATGATATGGTCATGCAATGTCATGCATGTATACATCCTTATAGAGCTCACGCTGAGCTTCTGGAAGTGGGTAATATCGAAAGTTGTGGAAGTTTGCCGGGTCAACTTTTGAGAAGAACGACAAAATTGGACAATTGGTTTAACAAAAGTAGGGCCTATCTCCTCATTCCAAAATGTCCACGGTTTTCCCGGAAGTATAGAAGCATGTAGAGGAAGAGCCATTGGCACTGGGCCTCACCAAAAGTCGGCCGTATCAACTTATTCCACAATGTCCACGTTTTTTCGCCCAAACCTCCGGATAGCATTTTGTGCCCAGGCCTCTTCCTTGATTTTCGCCGGAACATAGAAGACTGTAAGCGCTGCAAGCTTCTGCAATATGTCCACGCTTGTCCCCCAAACCTCCTCTTTCCCCCAGTTTGCATGTCGTGTGTGCATGTGGGCGACAACCGTGGAAGTCATGCAAGAAACCTGAAAATGAAAGTGCTTTCTGAGAGGCTCGGGCATAGGCAAAACGGGCCTTGCCGAATTCTCTTTCGCAACTTTCTGTACAGGGAAGCTCCGGAGTCATCAAACCACATTGCAGGCGCCTTAAAAGCAGACACCCGAGAAAGTCCCGCCATCCCCATTGCACCACTGCCAAAAAGTATGTTTCAGAAGCTGGCCGTCCCCATCTACAACAACAAAAAAAGAAGTTACTACAACACTATGCCCTTGGAAACGCTGCTCCAAGCACATGCGCGGAAGTCATGTCAGGTGCTGGTTAACTGCTGGTCTGCCAACAAGCAAGTCGAATCTTGCGACTGATCAATCAAGCGGCCGAAAATCAGACCAAGCTTGGCAACATGATAACCCCAAAACCGTCTGCGGTTTGAGCGGCATTCAACGCTTTGCGGGATGCCTTCGCGGTGGCGACACCAAGAGTCCCTGCCAAAAAACCTAAGACTTGGATGGAAGACTGGCCCCGGCTGCTGCAGATTGCATGTCTGCGGCCCGCACAGTCTCGCCAGCAAGATAGCAGTGAGGCTCCAAAGTAGCCCACCGCCACACCCCACCAGCATCGCCGTCAACGGATCTTCGCATACAGTTGGACTTTCAAGGTGCCGGTCAGAGGCCTCGGCGAACTTGTCAGGGTTGTGTCGGGGAGCTTTGCAGGATGCATTGAAAGCGTTTGAGGAAAAATTGGAAACCCCGAGAAACCTCGCAAACATTCACTGACAAGGAGAATCTTGTGGACCAATGCGTTCCCGTTCGGCAATGGTGGGTCAGCGCTTTTCCCTACACTCTGCTATTGCTCGCATTCCTGCAGTCCAAACGCCTTCTACCACGGAGATGGACATTCGGGACGCATCGTCAGCCTGGTGCCCATTCGGCATGGATCTCGCATTGAGATCTCTTATGCACCACGACAGAGCCATGGCTGAACACAAACTGATGACGGGATTATAGGATTGTTTACAGCTTGCTGTCTGGAGTCACCTGCAGACTTGACACTTGTGAGTACAGCAGAGGTACATCCTGCTCCAGCGTCATCTCCGACAAATCTACCTTTCTTCCACCCGGGGCTTTGGCTGCAAGTGCCACTTCTGCAAGCAGGAGGAACAGGACGATGCCCGAGGCGAATTTGAGGCCCGTGGCCTTCGGCCTCTCCGGATTTGCTGTTGTGTGATGCCATGGCTGAACAACTTGCTTCCAATGATGCGTTTGGCATTGGCTCTGGAAGCACGGTCATCCACTGTCTATTTCCTCACAACGGCCTTGGGGGCCAAGCTACTGCACGCTGCCATGGGCAAGAACCAGGTGGGGCTAAGTGTTGTGCAGATCGATGCTGGATCTGACACCTCCAGGCTGCCAGGGGAACCAGGCCTCGAGCCCATCTTGCAGGCAAACCTGGCAGCTGCACACGTAATGGAGGTAGAAGTGCAACGTCTGATTCGACTGGGAGTGACAGATTTTGTTGTGGATTGGCTGAGCTTCGGCTTTGTAGACAGCATACGGGCCTGCGGTGGACGATATTGTGTCTCAATGCCTAGCTCAACACTTCAGGCAGAGTTTTGCGCTGCGGGTGAGTTATCTGGTGATTACCAGAGCACCAAGAACGTCATTAGGAACATGATGCGCGACACAACGACTTTGGTTCATGGCCTGCCGAGAATGTTCCAAAGCCGTTCCGGGATTCATGGTCAGATCGCCTACGTGGGTATCTTTCCCAGTAATCTGAAAGCTATACCGCAAGACGTGGAGGCGTTTCTGACTTCTCCAGGTCCGCCCATTCTTTACGTGTTTCTTGGATCTCTGACTTGGCTCAGCGGAAAGGAGTTGGAGGTGTTGTGCGAAGCGCTTGCTGCACCCGGCATTTTCCGGGTGATCTGGTCCTTGCCCGAAGGTGGACAAGAGAATCTGCCAACATCAATCGTTGCAAGTCAAGACTTCTTCCTGTCGCAGTGGCCGCCACAGCCTTCGGTTCTGGCACACACTGCGTGCAGTGCCGTGTTGATACATGGAGACTGGGGTTCCCTCACCGATGCCATCCAGGCTGGCAAACCTGTGGCCGTTCTCCCCATGCCCGGTGACCAACCGATAAATGCTCAGATTGTACAGTCGATGAAGATCGGAGTCGTCATTTCGCAGGATGGGTGTACCTTGGGCAACATGGACCCGAAGCACATTCAAGACTCTATACAGTCCCTACTGCAGGACCCAGGAATCTCTGAAACGGCTCGGACCTGGCAGCAAGAAGCCGCAGCTTTCGGAGGTGCGGCTTACGCAGCCGAGGTGGTAGAAAAGCACTTTGAACAGGATGGGACATCTGAAGAAAGCCGGCGTGAACTTGAGGCTTCCGTGATCGCCTTCGCCGAAGACACATGCCCGCTTAGCTTCGACGACCCGGATTCCGATGAGCTCTTGCCAAGAGGCTCTCAATTGGAGGTTCTGCTTGTGCAAAGCGCGCTTCTTCTGGGCTTCGCTGATGCGCTCACTTGGTGGTTATTGAGGCTCCGTGTATACAGGGACTTTCAGCGTTTCGTCTGTTTTGGAAGCGTGGTGCTCCAAAATCTCGAATCCAAGGATGTGTGTGAGTTAGTTGCCTTGGCTGGGGCTGTTCACAAGAACCTCTTGCAAAAAGCTGTCCCCCTGGGACTTGCCTCCCCCATGCTGGACGGGGAGCCGCATCGCCCGCCGGATTTTGCAGCGGTGTGGCTGGCATCCCGCAGCCTGCTGCAGCACCACGTCGCCGCCAGTGTCTTCTTTGCAGAGATTTTTTGCTTCTAGCATCTAACTAGAGATCAGGAGCGAGTCTGCTGAGCCGGAACGGCTTGAGACTAATAGGGATGTGTTGGCCCTGCCAGGTTCCTGCGAAGGTATGGAATATGAGGTGAATTCGGACAACGTGGCCAAGGAGGGCCTGGTCCAACTGTCCCTCCTTGGAGGGCAAGTTGCCGCAGAAGCAGTGGAGTTCCTGTTCTCCAAGCAGCCGAAGCCAGCCACCAAAGACACACTGGAACCCCGGCCGTATGTGACTGTACATAATGTACATAGCTTCCTTGCTGGAAGTCCGTGTTTTATTCGTCCGCTGAGTGACCAAGGATGCCATCCTGGAGGCCGCGACCAGGGCCGTGCGACCGAAGTGGTGGCACCATGATCCTGACAACGTTGCTGGGCTTGGTGACGGTTCCTGGACTGCTCAGACTGGTCAAGGCTACTCGCGGCTCACGGCTACTCCGGGAGGTGATGCAAGCGGTGGAAAAAGTCCCCACACCCCTGCACAGGCCGTCCTCCAGTCATACACTGCAGCACACGAGCACAGCAAGCTAAGCAACCCATTGTGAAAACAAGCCATCACAAGCCCAGGAGCCACAACCTCGGCGCTCAGCATCCGCACCACCAGAGCGCCGGAATAGAGGACAGCCGTTGCGCAATCCCTGTAAACAAACCTGCCTTTGTGACAAGAAGTGAAGCATCTGGCGGAAACAGTGGAAAGCGTGGGGATGTTTCGTGGGAAATTGGCGCCTTGACTCTTCAGAACCTTGGAGACATGTCGAGGACGAAGGCACAGAATTGTCCCCCGCGTCATCTCTACAGGCCAGTGTAGCGACGAGAGACGCCTTGCCATGCTCCCATGCTGATCCTGCCCTGCTCTTCGCCTGCAAGGTCTCGCCACTGCACCAACCTCTGCCGTTCCTTCGCCCAATTCAGTCTTCCCAACGTCCCGTGCTTGCAACAAGCTTGATGTAGCGCACGCACACACCATGACGGGTATTTTGTGAAAACCTTAGTGCATCCTTTGTGCTAAGGCCGCTTCTGCCGAAAGAACGGTCCCAGGCTTTGCCATGCCACGCGCAAGTCAACAGAACCAATGTGCAACGCATGCAGGCTTCGCGAGCGCTGATGCCTGAGCGCGGCCGCGATCGCCGCAGCAAATCCGTCACGGCCGTGCCGTGTCTACAAAGGAGGGGTCCTGGGCACGACTAGAACAGCGATTTATCAGGGCTCAAACCTGCCCTCGACAGGTTCTGAAATTGTTTAGGGTTGGCAAGGCAGCTCGCGCATAAAAAGGTTGTGGCAGGTGAGGTCATCAACAGGTCGGGGAGCATACTGGGGGCATAGACAGCTTGCTGTGTATGGCCATGGTGCATGGATAAGGTCACTGGCGCTGCTTCTGCGTGGCATTGAGAGATGCGGTTCGTTGCTCGTACATGTCAGGTTCGAAAGTGGCATGCCCTGTTAGATCTTCGTAGCCCCACGCGACACTAGCAATGACTACCCTGGCTACCCGACTACCCACCAGCCGAAAGCACGTCCAACGTACTCCAAAGTCAAAGGCTTGGTTGCGTGCATCGCCCAGATTCAGCGGAGCGAGAAAAAGTGCTGCCCTGCTGCCACAGAAAGGAGGCACTGGGCACTGGGAACTGGGGCTGGCAGGTGCAGCACGGACATGGCTCAACATTGTCAAACGATTGGGGCTCCAAGATCTAGAGAAAAGGCTACTGAGTCTACTGTAACAAGCAGCGAGATGCATGGATTGTGCGCTGGCCTCGGCAGCCCGGGGCTGGCGGCGCTTTGCAGGCAGAGGATGGCTGTCAGATTCTGATTCTGTCAGTCTTGCCTGGAGCTTTGCTGCTTTATGCTGTTTTATGCTGTTTTATGCTGTTTTATGCTGTTTTATGCTGTGTTATGCTGTTTTACTGTTTAATCTCAGTTACTCTTTGCAGGCCCACGAAGCAGCCGCTGCAGAAGTTCCCATCGCATTCATGGGGCGACCATGGCGGCCCCTGGAAGCTTCATCAGGTTGCCGCGCTCGCTGCTTTGGTAGCAGGCTTTGGGCACTCCAGAAGCTTGAGGCCTGCCAGGCCAGCAGCGAGCCGGACAGGGTGGGGTGGGGCATGGTGTGGAAGTGAAAAGCGCATCCCTTCATTCCTGGTGCATGGCAGGCACGAGGCCTTTGCAGGAAAGGTCCTATCCAGTGTCAGCCTGTGGCAAACCAGCAGGCGCCTTGCCGAAAATGGTCAAACTGAGGGTGCAAATGCTCGGCTGCTCAACCAATCTTACAGGCTTCACGCAAACGCCCTTGACAATGACAGCTCTTTGATTATCCATTGCACGATACACTCATTCACAGTAGAGTTGAAGGTATTTCTCTGGCATGCCTTGTGTGCGTTTCCTCTCCTACCGGAAACGAGGAAGCGGGCTATCCGCCAGCACCTACCGGAGTTTGCGCTGAACCGGGGCGATACGGATGAGGAACTTCTGCAGCAAGCAGCTTCCAAGAATTCAGCATTAGACATGCGGCACTATGTGGCCGCCATCAACAAGTCTGCAAGAGCGGGCGCGCCGGAGAAAGCTGACGCTTGCTTTCGGGAGTTGCGATCTGCGCGTCTAGATCCTGACATATTTGCGTATACTGCGGTGATCAACGCTCATGCCCGAACTGGCGATGCTGCTGGGGCACAAAGGTGGTTCAAGGACACGAATGGTGGATGTTGCGATTTCAGGGCTTTTTTACTGCCGACCTCTACATTCCAGTCTTTAAACTATACTAGTATAGTAGGAGAAAGACTTGTATACTGGCAGGGAACTCAGAAGTCTCGAGGGGTTGGATCAGGGAGATCGGACGGCCCCATGAAATCGGCAAGCTCGGGTAACTCGGATGGTTCAAGGTTCAGTATGCTGAGGGGAGCTCATAGACTCATGACTTCCCACATGGTTCCGATATGTTCCGATCTCATCCCCAGCCTGCGGATGGAGACACAAAGCGATAGTTTAGTTGAATATATGACCGCGAGCCAGGATCCTTCGAGATTCGAAATCTAGTGGGCCGGAAGACTGTCCGTGTCATGTGAGCACTTAGACTACACTGGAGCTCTTCATTCTTCGGAATGCAGGGGCCACATCCTGCACCGGCAGTGGCAAAGACGCTGTCTTATTCTGCTCTACTCCACAATCCATGATCTTTTCTGTCTCGTGCAGAGCCGAAGTTTGATGTGTGACGCATCGTACATCATCTTCCAAATCGTGTAAGTTAAGCAAAGGGCCACTGGATAGAAATTTGAGGTCGAACCAAGTCCGTGATGTAGAGTATTGCCAACCACCAGGACCTTGTGGATGCGGCTTTGCAGCCTGATACCATTTGCTACAGCAGTGTCCTCAACGCCTGTGCTCAGGCTTGGTCGGGCAATCGTAGTCCTCTTTTTGCCATGATAACATGAAGTGCGTGTTTCGGACTTTGGCAGCTTCCTGGGCCTGTGAGTGGTCTAGCCAGCCCGTCTTGGTTTACAATTTACAGCCTCACAGCTCATCTGATGCCTCAGCTAGCCAGATCCGAAATCGCACGTGCGACTTGAGAATTTGCACTCCACTCCAAGCATCCTAGCAGCTCCTAGCAGCTCTCCCGACTCTGACAGCGACGGATTCCTTCGGCCGCTCCTCAATGCAAGCCTCTGTGCTCAGGCTCACGAGCCAGAGCTTGCAGAGAGCTGGTTGCTGAAGATGATTGCAGCTCCCTGCTTTGGTTAGATCGACAGAGTTGCTTGCCATCCATGCGCCTGGCAGTGCATGGTTTTTGAATGCGGAAGCGCCAAGGCACGTGTGCTGGTGAATCGTGTGGCCTACAGCACCGTCATCAATGCCTTTGCACAGGAAGGTGATGTGAATTCGGCCGAGCGCTGGTTTGCCAACATGGCCAAGGATCGAGTAGAACCCAACGCGGTGACATATTGCAGCATGATAAAAGCCGGCGCGAACAAGGGAGACGTCGAGGATGCACAGCGGTGGCTCCAGCTGGTTCCCTATTTGTTCATTCTTCTGCAGCAAGTCTTGTGTTCGAATTCCAAAAAAAGCAGTCACAGCCATCTTCAAGTGCTTCCACACTCAGGTGCTTGCTTGCAGCAGGGCTCGAGGTGCCTCCGTTGGCCTTCAACACTGCAATCAATGCCTGCGCAGCGACCGGCGATTTGGCAAGTGCTCAGCACTTACTTCTTGCCATGCGCGAGCACGCGATAGAAGACACGTTGGAACTTCGGCTGCATTGAACCTTCCATCACTCTGAGGGGGTCTTAGCTGATGCTGGAGATAGTGCCGAGGTAACGTACAACAGCTTGGTGAAGGTGAGTGCGGCCACGGGCGATGTCGAAAGCGCCCAGCACTGGCTTGACGCGTTACTGGCCTGCCGGCTTCAACCTGACACGCAGACCTTCAACAGCCTTCTCAGCTGTGGGGCTCATCGCGGAGACATGCAGGCGTGCGAGAATTGGTATCAGCTGATGGAAAGCTCACATGCAGTTCCTGACACCATCACTTACAGTACCATGCGTACAGCTTGCACTAGATCTGGGGACTATGCCCAGGCGCAGAATTGGCTGAATAAAATCGTCGAGAATGACGACGAAGCTCGAGGCATGTGGACTGCGAGGGGCAAGGTCGCCAGTGATCCTTTCTCTGAGAGCGGGGGAACCATGAAGAAAGCGTTGTACCGCTTCCGCTCTCAGGGAGATCAAACCATCGCAGAGCACCTGGAACGTGCACTGGAGCACCAGTGGGTCTACGGGTATCCTCGTGTCCCGAGCCATGAGAAGCAGCTGACACATGGAACCTACAAATACATGGCCGGGATGCAGCCGATGACTGCGCGAGAAATCTTCCACATAATTCCTGAAAGCAAGACCATTCTTGATACATTTTGTGGATCGGGGACGGTTCTAATCGAAGGATTGGTGGCCGGCAAGCAAAAGTGCATCGGTGCGGACACGTCTCCTTTGGCAATTTTCGTCTCCAGGCATCACACAGACGCGCAGCAGCTTCCCTTGGACAAGTTCGTGGAAGAGGCAGAAAACATTGCCGCAAACATTGCCCGCAGCTCGGACTGGGCCAGCCTGCGTGAGCGAATTCGGAAAGTGGCCCCCGAGCTTCGGGAGCTTCGGGATGGACTTTGGTTTGCTTACGCCGTCGCTTGGCGGCTGGCACACGCACAAGTCGCACAAAGCGCACAAAACGCGCATGGTGTCAGGTCCGAGGAAGTCCGTGTGGGCGATGCAAAGTCCTACTTCCTTTCGACGGTTCATCGCTTTGCAAATCAGGTGCGCGAGCTGCGGGGTGAAATCCACGGCAAGCCCACTGTGGAGCTTCACTGCTGCGATTGCCGAATGCTAGTGTTGGAAGACCAAGTGGATGCGATCCTTACCAGCCCGCCGTACCCTGGGGTCTACGACTATGTCAAGGCACCTGTAGCGGGCTTATGCGGACTTAGTAACTGTAGTCTACGCATCTCAGCTTACTTGTGAGGCCGCAACCAGCGACTGGTGCCAAGTGGCTGGGAAGGGCCGGAACCAGAACGTGTCGGTGGATGGGCTCCCGGCAGAGCTCCAATTCCCAGCAGGCACCGAATACTTCGAAGACTCCTCGGAGCTGGGCGCAGCCTCTTTGCAGCCCCGGTCTGTGGCAGAGGCCCGGGCACAGTGGCAGGCGCAGCAGGCAGAGTGGCTCGCGGCTGCGCACCGCAATCTTTGCAGCGGAGGAACTCTGACCATAATGGTTGGAAACGGCGATGCCTTGGAGGAGAATGCCAACGAAATTGATTGCCTGCAGTCTACACTGTCAGCTGCCAGTTTGCTTGGCTTCGAGCTTGCCGCACCCTCAGAAACTTGAAGCCATGCTTTCCATCCATGAGACTATACGATGGAGTGCACGTGAGGTGGCGGCTTCTACAATCGAGAGTTGTGCAGACGATGCTCACCGGACAAAGGGAATGTTGCGGACTGAGCACATGATTCACTTCCGCAAGCCTGAGCGTGAGAAAAGTGTGTGCTTTCCACGTGACCGAACTTCTGCATTGACATCATCAATGATGCTGAAGTCCATGTTCTCTTGCGCAGATCACGAAGCCCGCATGAAAGATGTAAGGCGCTGCGGCTCAAAGGAATAAGCTGTGGAGGAAAGCCTTGTGCTTGCAGCGATGTCCATAGCCTTGCAGCTTCCCTCGCGAGTTACTTTGGGCTTGCAGCGTCCGGAAGGCAGATGAAGAATTTACTTACGTTCACGATGACGTCTGGAATGCTGAGCCTACGGGAGCACTTATGTCTCACGACCCGGCCTCAGGTCGTGCAGCACTGCCGGCAACATCAGCTCCGCTGCAAGAGTCGGGGAAACCAACTTCGACAGCACCGTCGCAGTCCTGGCGGGCGGGAGCGGCCCTGCAAGCCGGCTTCACTAGACCCCCAAGACCTCGTGTGTAGATGTCCTGTTTGTAGCTTCTGGCACTGATGCGGTGCTAGCTTCAAACTTGTGGTTACAAGTTTGAAAGCAACCTGCAAATTGCAATGTGCCGCCACTATACAGGTGCTCATTCCTGGGTTGTGTTGAGGTACGTAACAGCTTAGTCGTGAGGCTGGGCCCCATGCAGCCTCGGTTTGTGGTCACCTTCGGGAAAAGACATAAAGACATCAGCCATGATCGAGAAGTTTCGATGCATCCGGAGCCAAGGCTTGCTGGGGCAGCTTTCTTTGCTTGCCACAAGTCAAGGACCTCCAGGACATTTGCGTAGCAGTAACAAGGCATGATCTTACATCCTTTTCAGAGATGGACAGTAATGAAGCTTTGAACGGCACGTCGCAGATTCCGCTGTCAGGAGGACGATCCGTACTGTGCTTCCAGATGGGACGAATGAAGAGGGAGAGGCCTTAGATGTTAGCGATTGTGCCACAAGAGTTTTCAAGTAGCAGTGAAGGACGTGGCTCCAATCGACATTGCGTTGGAGGATCTTAAGGATGTCGTACTGTACCCTGGCGCATCGTTCTGCTCCATCTGAATCATGAGTGCGTTTTCAATTGAGGTTCCAGTCCGACTACTCCCCTCCATGTGTGAAGCTCAGGCGGGCACAGGCAACTGTTTGTGGAAGCCAAAATAGCCAAAAGCTTTAGGGCCGAGGGCCTTGCCGGTGCTGGTGCCTGTCAGGACCATTTTCCGGTACTACAAATTGCCTTTCCGCACATTCAATGCAAAGCATCCCACATCAGTGCCTTGAAGCGAACTCACTTCTCGTGGGGCCTCATGACTGCGCAAGAGACCCTGCCGCGCTTGAGACTGACAAGCAAAGGATTACCAGAAGATTCCTGTGCTGGTGATGAACGACCGTCCCCGGACTGATTTTACATGCCGTTGCTCGTTGCTCGTGCTCTCAGACTTCAGTGAGACTGTCAAATACAACAAGGTCAAATCAATGACTCCCACATCATTATGAGGAGAATAATTCCGTGGCTCACAGGCAAAGAAATGACCGATGAAGAGGTCATGTGGGAGAAACGCATTACGTACGACACCGGATTGCAAAAGTTCGGTTATAGGGTGTGAGCTGAGTTGCCTGTGCAGAGAAGTGTCAGTGCATACCTGTACTTGCAAGGAATTTCAGCCGGCGTTCGAAGTAGAGCTGGTTGGCAACGACCGGGACCTTGCGAGACTCGCTTGCGCAAGCAGAAAGCAATCAGAGTGGCCGAATGTAGAGTTGGGAAGTGGCGGGCAATTCCTTGATCCTTGAGGCTGCTGTGGACCAGAGCTACTGGATACATCGGGGGATGGCAGAGAGGAACACAAGTCGAGAGTTCAGAACCTTGAGCAAAGCAGCTTCCTGAGCCTGAATCTCTGTCAGGACTCCTAGGCGTTCTGTCGCCGTTGCTAAAGTTTGCCGTCGAAGCGCTGTTCAGATCTCGCTATTCCGACATGGAGCTCCCAAGTAGCTTGCCACAAGTGACCAGCGTACTCGGCAGTGCGCCCTTCAGTGCGCCACATTGCGCCCCTTGCTGCTCAGGTTCCAAGTTTGGCGCCAGCTTCCGTGCAGCCCTGAAAGATCAGCCCTTCTTCCATGGTGAAAAGCCGGGCCCCATTGATTTGAGCCTGTATGGACTCTTGGAGTATTGGAGCAAGCGTGGGTGCCAGCACAGTCCTCCGAAACCTCCACAGAAGCTTCAATGCCTGTGGTGTTCTGTGTGCCTTCTCTGAGGAACATACGCTGCATTTGCGGAGTGCGGCTCATCTGCACTGATGGGTCGCTGATGGCCGCATTTCCTCACACAGGATCACATCTTATCACATCGCTTGAGGCAAGACCGCCGCACGCTTCCTCCAAGACAGTGGTCTGGAGGTGGGGACGGGGTGGAAACAGCCAACGAGTTGTGCAGCAAGGTATGTAGAGATGGCACCAAGTGTAACTGCTGTCCTCTGCGGGCAGAACTGCGCGAATCGCAGAGGAATAGTGACTGTCGTGAACTTCTGTCAGGAGTGGCATGATCGAATGACAGAGCTTCAGATCGACTCTGTCAAGCGCCTCAACTTGCACTTTTGCACACTTGAGTCTCTGGGCTACCGAATTCTGCCACTCTGCCACTGTTGCTACTGTTGTTGCTGTTGTTGTCGTTGCATCGTAGCGCAACCCTTTTGGAGCACCACCAATCCAAGGAAACCGACAGTCTATGCCATGCAATAGGCGGATGACCTCCTGGTCAATCGTTTTACAGCTGCCTCCCAAAGTTGCCAAGCAATAGCAAGGAGATAGGCTTCGCGTGGCTTCGCAGCTGAAGGAAGCCTTCAGCAAGCGCTATGCCGCAATTTTCTGGCAGTCGCCCAGCAAACCCCGATCCCGATCCGCTGATATTTAAAATGCGATGACACGGCGAGCTTCAGAGCATGAGGATGCATTCGTTGAATCCCTGCGGCTAAGAACGCAGATGCATGTCCATGAGCATTTGCGCACGCAAGCCGATGCAGGCTTTAGACACGCCTTCAAACTCACAAGCTCCCGTTCACAGTCAGCGCCGAGAAACACCTAACAGTCTCCTTTCGAATTTGCTGCTTGTGCAACTGGAAGGTTGCAAGAAACGGCTAGCTAGTTGCTTCTTCCTTGTCCATGGCGGAGCAAAGTGACAACCTCACGGAGCTGCTGGCCAGACTGGCCAGGGGAGAAATGGATGAGGCGAGAATTCGATCCCCCGAACCTTCTTGCAGGTTGAGGCACAGGAGCCGGGAAGGCATGGAAGGGCAAGTATGGTGCTTAGTTGGAAAACTTGCTTTGGCCCCAATCCAATGTCTGAGCCAGGCTGTTAAGGCCATCCAAGCAAGAAACCGAGACCTCGTGCTTCGGCTTCGGATTGTTCTTGCACCATGTGGACCATGTGGCAGTGACACAGATGTTAAGACGATCTTTCAGAACCGAGTTGTGGCATCAACTGCCGGAGAGGACGGGGTCCAGCCTACCGAGCCTTTTTCGGGGTCTCCCTGTGAGCAGTCGATGTCTCAAGGGAGCAACAAGGAATAACAAGGACCACAAAAGAGTCTCCTCAGTCTCCTTTTTGGGCAGGATTGTGCTTCTACGGCACGGTCAAAGCGAGGGAAACGTGGATCATCTGCTTTACACGTCGAAGGGCGACTCCAGGCTTGAGCTGACCAAGCGTGGAATCCGCCAGGACCGCGGGGCCAGTGCCCCAAAAAGTCCTTTTGGGAGCTCTTGCCTTGCAAGCTGTAGCAATAAAAAAAGAGTGGCCCTAGGCCCTGAATGGAGCTTCCAGCTTGAGCTAGGAAGCTAGGGCCTTTGAGTGAGTCTCCTTAAGTTCCTACGCTTCCAAGACTCAGAGCTTGAGGGCTTCACAACGGCCCTGCGGCAGGCAAGGGAAGCTGGAAAGCGCTTGAAGGAGCTCTCCCCAAAGCACGGAAAGGTCATTATTTGCACCTCGCCCTTCGAGAGGCCAGCCTGGGCTCACCTTGTGCGCAACTATGTGCAACTACTGCACCACTGCGCCCACGCGTGCCCCACATGTGCCTGCAGGACAACGCAGACACTTCTTGCCCTGTACGCTGGTGGTTTCAACCAGGACCCCCAAAACTTTCCACTTTGAGCAGACGGTCCTGTGCCCATGCCTGGAACGCTGTAGTTGCGATGCTTTGGTGCGAGGAGAACGTGGAATGTGTCCATGTGGACCCGCAGATTCGCGAGCAGGAGTTCGGAAATTTTCAGGATCCTGGCTTGACCTCCAAGGTGGGAGTGTTAGAGTACCAAAACAGAGGCAGCGAATCCACGGCTCATCGCTGTGCCAAATGCCCTTCATCCCATCGTCAATGAATTGCAGGTGCGGGCAGAGGAGCAGAGAGTGGGGAGATTCTACTACAGGACCCTTGTGTTCTGCAGTTGGTAGTGTATCGCGACGCAGTGTCGAGCTGAGAGTCTGGCCGAGTCGAGCGCATGAGTGTCTGACAACACATTGCAATGTGTGGAGGCGCCCAAATGCCGAAAGCTCCGCGGATGTCTTCGACAGAGTTACGCAGTTTTGGGACAAGCTCTTCGAAGACAACGGCAAGGGCTTGCTGACAGATCCCAGTGTGAAATATGACATGTGCCTAATGGTCACACATGGCTTGACCATCCGACTGATGCTCATGTGCCTCTTCAAGTGGTCGGTGGAGACTTTCGCTTCTGTATGGAACCTGGGCAACTGTGAGCACATCACACTGAAGAAGAATGCCGCGGAGCACAAGTACGAGCTTCTAGGCATTCTAGGCTGGCTAGGTTGACAGGAGATATTGGTAGGGTCGTGACCGAAACATACCGAAACACTTCGAGGATAGAGCTGAGGATTTGCATTGAAGAGTCCTACCCACAGCGGCTCCCCTGGGCTACTCGGGAAGCCTGGATCGTTTTCAACACAAAGAATGCGCCCGAGGCGGGCGGGCCCCCACCGTCCCCACCCCCCAAAAGCCTCACGCGAGATGGTGGAAGGCACTAGAGCAACAGTCGTCCTAGCTGTCCTATTAAGCCGCTCCAGGAGATGCTGGAGAGGTTGGGGGCGCTTCAGGAAGCCCGGGACGCGCTGTGCGACGAGGGGGTCCGGGAGGAGGCGTTGCGGATCGACAAGGCCCTGGATTCCCTGGAGAACAAAATCCTCCGCGTGCGCTCCGAGCCTTACACTGTCATTGACTACCTCGCCATTCCCCAGCCGCGAACAACACAAAAAGAGGAGGTCTTGTCAAGGCTGGTTCCCGGGCACGGTCATGGCCACAAGTCGCCAGAGGCGGGGGGTGTTTCCCAGTTCTGCTCGAATATACAGACTATATATATATATATGTTAAATACATGTGTCTATTTATTCATATCAATTTGTATATATGTGTTTCTTGTGTCACATGTTATCGCCGCGCGGTCCGCCTTGGCCTCGGGCAAGAGCTGAGCTCGTGGTCAGCAGCAGAGGGGCTGGGTTTCGGCTAAGCTGGGCTGTCGGGGCTCGAGGTGCAGAAGGCAGAACGTGCCAGCACCTTTCTTGTGATTGTACAGCTATTGTGTGAACGTCACGGCCCGTAGCAATAACTGAACAGGACATAGGACAAGAAGCGTCAAGGCTCCTCAGGGGACCCTCCCTCCTCACAGGGCTCTAGGACGGCACACCCCGCGAACGATGGAGGCCTGGAATAGCACGGACGCTCTTTTTCACTTGTATTGCTCCTGGCCCTGGACGGCTGGCTCTGCAGCAACACCAAAAATGCGGATAGCTAGCTCCAGGGCCGGGAAGATCAGAACGGCGTGTAGCAGTGGAGATATGCTTTGTGAGGTGAAGTGAGTGCTAAGAGTGTACCACAGAAGGTATTCGGCAAGAGCCTACTCCCTGTAGGAGATGCATCGGCTGGTGTCCGCACCAGATGAGGACGACATCGAGTTCATCGACTGGTGGGGCGACAACTTAAGTTCCCGAGATTGACTTCAGAAAATGTTTTACGACAGTCCGGTAGGCAGGCGTTTGAGAACTTGCGCTCTCACCCTCTCTCTCTCTCAGTCGCTCACTCACTTACTCTCTCTCTCTCTCTCTCCTGCCCTCTCTCTTCTCCCTCGCCCTCTCCCGCTCTCCGCACTCTTTCTCTTTTTTTTGCTTTCTTCCTTCCTGTGCACAGGCTATCAGGGCAAGATGCTTCGGCTGAACAGAGTGAGCACGATCCATTCAACGCGCTCCATGCGCTCCACAAGCCCAAGCAGAAATCCCAGTCAATGCCAGGCAGGGGGGGGAGAGTCGAGCGCGGAGGCAGACGATCCAAATGATCTGTGATCTTCCGGCTTCACTGACCCTTCGTTATTTTCGGCAGCTGTGCTGCTCAAAACCAGCCCGAAGATGTCCCAGATCACTTCGCTTAATTTTAGATCGATCTGCATCGCTTGTCGCTTGTAAAAGATGGAACTGGATGGAGCCATGACTGCCTTGTTGGATGTTTGAGGCTGAGGCATTTATGGCGGCGTCTTCGTCAGCCAAACAACAAACAGATGCGGTCGGGGACCTTGTGCATCAAATGCAGCAGCCGGGCTCTGTTGCTTTATTTAGATGCCCCATGTGACTCAGAACCTCAAAAACTCAACAATACAACCAAGACGAGGCTTCAGCACAACGATCACGAGCACGAGCAGTGCAACCACTGCACAACCGGTGCAAGCAGTCTTGACATGTCTTGACATGTCTTATAGCGCTATCGGTAATTCGGCGATGGCAAGACGAGTCCAGCCTGCCAGAAAGAAGTCCACAAGAAGCAGTGGCCGAATCATTAGCCCTGCATAGTCAGCGTTTGAAGACTTTTGAAGATGCCATGGAGAAGGAGAGGCGTGCAGCGGCTGCCGATGCTGCAGCTGCTGCGGCCAAAGTGCCGCCGCCGCCACTCCCATTGCCACCGAACCTCACAGTGGCACAGCTGCCAAAGCTGCTCCGCCCAACCGGAAAGCGGTTTCAAGCAGCGAGAGGCGGGAGCTCATATGCGTATCTCGTCAGGCCATAACAATGCCGCACCTTGCTGCATTGTGCCGCAAGGACATGACGCTGAGCCTGATGGGACGCGTGTCACGACGGAGGTGACAGAGCCACCTGCAGCGGCAGACGAAGCGGCAGGCCAAAGCACTGGTGCGTATTGCCACTTCTGCCACTTCTGCCATACGGCCTGCGTTGCAACTGCAGGCAGCTCTTCGCATGGACTGGCGGCCACGGTGGGAGAGCTCTCAGGTAGGAATGCATGCGCGCAGCTGTCGACGTGTGTGTGCATGTCGGCTTGCAGCAGCTGGAGGGCTGTTTGACAAGTTGCCAGGTCAGAACAGATCTGGATCTGACTCCTGCCCCAGACATAGCCCCAGCCACTGCCCACAAGCATCTGAGAATTCGGGCTCCGACCTGAAGCAGGACTCATCTTCACGTTTGACCCCCTCGAAGAGCCACGTGCTCCTCACTCCACGTCACGATCTTGTCAGGAGTCGGAGACGCAGTGCGACCGCGAGCTCCCCCCGAGTCCGTCGCACCCAACTCATGGCGACAGCCACATCGCTGCATCACTTGTGCCACAGCAGGCGGGTCCCGATGGTGTCGTGATACTCTTTGCCAGAAAGGTGGGGAAGTATTTGCGCAAGGCTCCGCCGGAGGTGTGCCTTCTCAGTGAACCTGCGCCGGATGCACCGGAGATCTCGGACGACCCATCCATCCAGGCTTTGGCGGGTTGGGTCGTGGAAGCGGGCCATCGATGTCCATATTTTAAGCTCATCGGGCAGGCGAAGCCAGACATCCAGCTTGCTGCACCTCGACTAAAGTAAGAGTGCTGCATGTGCTGCGATTAATGGCAGGATCCTGCAGAATTCTTCGTCTTTGCTTGTCTTGCGAAGTCAGGGATAACCAAAGCCCAAGCCGCAGGAAGCAGTGTCGCAGATCCTGAGCGATGTTGGTGCGCTCTCAACAGAGTGCAAGAGGCGCGGGAAGACCGCAGTTCAAGAGAGAGGGTAGATTGTGGGCCATGTCGGGTAGCGTGGTGTGTTGGAAGCTTCGAAAGATGCGATTCTTGCCAGGCTGTTCAAAGATACCTGTGCATCGGGACCACCTCTGCACCAATCTGACCTCTGCTCTGCCACGACACGTAGCTGCGGGGCAGGAGACTGCGAAGCAGGAGAACTCGTAGATGCAGAGCAGCTGCACAAGCTGACGCCGGGAGCCATGGCCATGGATGAGTTTACCGTGCAACGCCTAACGCAGAGAGTTCACATTTCTTTGGAGGCAGATGCTCATAGATCGGTTTGGCTGCACTTCCCCCGCCACGCTGGATCGCATCGGTCACGTCTATGTGGCCCCTTGCTCGCAGAAGCACGGGGCAACTGGGGCGGTACTTTTCACTTGTGACAAGTCTGCCTGGCCCACGCAAGGCAGCCACCTCTGGCAGACTAGAACAAGGACAACCTGCCAGAGTTCTGATCTCCATTCAGCCCTTGCCAAATCAGCTATGTGAGAGCACTTTAAGCTGCTTTTGCGTGAACATACCGAAAAATGCATCCTAAAGACGCGTGCGTGGGAAGCTATAGGTATTTCAGTCAATGGTTGCCCGAATTCCTTTCAGATGTAGCAGTTTTAGTAGTTGGCACATGTTGGCACCTTAAATTGCTCGACACACGAGCTGTGGATGATCCTCCACAGGCACCTCGTAAACTCGCTGATCGTGACCTGACTTTGCAGGATTACCGGAGCTGGAGTTCCGCGGGTATGTGGCCGCAGCACTAGCCTCAAGGGCAGCAGCTCAGCCTCGCAGTCCGACACTCAGCAAGCAACAGCTTCCGGCTGAGGTGTTGACCCAAATACTCCAAGACTTGGAGCGAAGATCTGTCACAACATCGGAGGAGGTCGGCCTTCTGCAGCTAAGCACGGGTTCAGCAAGTGGTTGGCAGGAGAAGGCGTCGGAAGCCACCGGTGCCGAAGAGTCAGACAGTGCGACTCCTCAGATTCAGATCCTGCGGCTTTGCAGCTTTGCGGCTTCGGTTGCTGATGGTCTTTCAGACATTCCACGGTCTTCACATCTCTGCTCATTTCCACCAATATCCAAAGATTTTGGCTAAGGCTTCAGCATGGTGGAGTCGCTGCAAGGCAAGCTTGCCTTTCTGCTTTTCTCCTCGCTTACTCGGCATGGCTGTCAGCATGGTGTCTGTTCTTGACTAGTCGCAGGCTGGTTGGCGCAGCTGACGTCGTCATTTGCCTAGCCTGGCCGCGGATTCGTTGGGGACTTCGACGATCGCCAAGAGGCCGAGAGGGCTTGCAAACAGAGCAGGGGCGGTGAGCGCTCTGCCGGCGTGCGCAGAGATGTGTCTGCTGGCCTGGCACCGGCTATACAGCGCAGGGATGAGCTGTTATTGAGCAGCTCTTGACGCCCATAGTCTGACCGAGTCCGGCAGTGATCACCGTTTGCAGCCAGAACCATCCAGAACCCCTCGGGGCTGAAGTGCGTGACTGCGAAACTTGCAAGCTGTGGAAGGGTGGTGGTCGGGATTCCGTATGTTGCTGACTCCTCCGGCGGCGCTTTCGCTGATCGAAGTGATGTTCGCAGGGATGGCAAGACATGTGGTAGTGAGTAGTACAGTAAACGCTGCTCGAGCGGGGAACAGCACTGGACAGCAAAGCCGGCAACAACGTGACTACCACATTTCCCTCCATCACAATTGCTTGGTCTAGAGTCTAGTCGGGTCAAGGCAACTTTGTCTGCGCTTACGTGGCGTGGAAAACCCTACTAGTAAACGTTACTTGGGAACCTGGGTGATTGCGGTCGTTTTGTGCCCCAGCCGTGTCCCGCCTTAAAACTGAAGAAGTTGCTGGCTGTGTGTGTGCGTGTGCCTGCGTGCGTTCGCTCCCCGGCATCGGGCCCCAGCACCCTGTGCAGATTTCATGCCGTCCAGTCCAAGATCCTGTTCAGACGTTCGCGCCATGTGTTGATGTGCTGAGAGTTAGAAAAGCATCAGAAACAGTTGGACACGTAAACGTGACTTTGAAACACAGGCCAGTGGCTACCGAAGGCTTGCCGAATCTGCCGCAAAAGAAAAGCGGTCTTGCTGATGGTTCTCCATAGTGCGTGTCCGCGGGCACATTTTCTGCGGGTGTCTGTTGGCACCTTGCGCCGAGACGCAGAAAAGAGTCTGTGTGCACTGCTGTACGCATGGAGCAAGTTTGCTGAGTTTACAGTTGTGGGGCGAGGCCTTGCTAGTGTCACACAAGGTGCACGGGAATGAGCGTTCGCATTGTCAACTGCAGCTTTCAGCTGGCTTGAAGTAGAGCTGGCTGGATTCTTGCTTGCATCAGCCCATGCCTGAGAGGGTCTTCATTGCTTCCTGGCCAAGCAGTTCACATGCTTGGCTTGACCCAGGCATGGCGGGCAAGGCCCTCGCCAGTGGACTTTGTGATGCGGCTGCCACGATCTCGCCTTACGAGGCATTTCGCCTTTCTCGTTTTGCTTGAACGTCGGGTAACGGACTTATCTGAACATGCAGGATGTCAAGGGATACCTGCAGCAGACTGTGCTGCTCGCCTGCGCCAGATGCATGACAAAACCCATGAGCTGTACTGCATCAAAGATTGATGTCATCAGGCCACCTGCCCTTTTCATCAGGCTACCTGCCCTTGGGCCCGCCATAGAAGATCTGTTGCATCTTGGACCTTGATATGGTTGCGATGAGTCCAGGGTTGGCAGATGCACGTGAGTGAGGATGAGCACTTCGCATGCCAACTTCAGACGACATCTTGTGGCCGCAGGCATCAAGTCCACTCCTCTGGCGAGCTGCAGCGAGTGTTGCGCAAGGAGACCGAGGCTGAGCGGAAGATCGTCCGGAAGCCATCCGAAGTACAGGAGGTGCCTCGGAGCACTGGACATGCAAAATTCGGTAGGATGGTGAGCAAGGAATGTCATGGCACGTGTGTTGGCCCCCCGCAGGATCCCCCGCCGGAAAAGAAACACAGCTCGTCGGGAAGCAGGCCCCACCTGCTTGCGTGCATTGATGCAATAGTGGTACAACCTATGCCCGTGGAGGAAACCCTCACTGACCGCTGGCCCTTCGGATTGCAGCTATTGATAGCTGTGGGAAATTCATGTGACCTCGGAAATCACATGCCGCTTTTCAAGCTGCCACCCATGCGCGCAAGGAGAAGGAAGTCAACTGTTGCGTCGCTTCAGCAATGGATCTGAACTGGAGAAGGCTAAGCACGATTTGTTACGCTTGATGCCCCGTACATAGGAGGGCAAGTGCTTTATCAGCCTAATCAGTGCATCTTTGGATATCTCTGGCTTCGTGGCCAGGTGCCGCCGTCTCCTCCTCCTGCTCCAGAAGCTGCCGCGGAGGAGTCCCGATTTGATCCCCTGGCGACTCGACTGGAAATTGAGTAACTAAGTTCGCAGGCAAGATCATCGTGAATTTGGGCAACTTGACCAGGTTTGGCTGTCCGACTGTCTTAAGCAATCGGCTCCTTGGCGAAAAACTCTTGGTGGCCTGTCATGTTGCGATGGATGCCGGGCTTGTGGCCGAGGCCACTGGGGATGCAAGCTTTCGGGACCAGATCCGCGAGCGAGTAATCCAGCAAATCAAGGCCGCAGAGGCAGAGAACTTAGTGCATCATCTGAAGGTTCTCACGTGATTTGCTTGGGGCGTGGGGGGGGGGTGGGGGGGGGGGGTATGTGGGAGAGGCAGCTGAAGAAGCTGAGCGTGCTCGAGCTGAAGCTGAAGCTGCTGCACGCGCAGCTCGAAGCGCATGTATTGCTGCAGTCTGTCGCCGTTACCGGTCCGGTAGGTTAGCTGGGCTTCGAGCTGCCTACAGCTGCAAGCCATCTATCATTCCGGGGTGATCAGGAAACCAACAATCATCTTGCGATATCTTGTGAAGCCTCTAGGTTGACGATGGAGAGATCACTACCATCGCCGAGGGGGCCTCTGAGAGTGGAAATTGAGACCGCGATCTGTGGACACGTGGGCACATGGTATTGCACCCTCCTCATTTCAGTGTTGGTCTTTCAGGATTCGTTCTGCAGCTTCAGTAGACATGCATGGTTTCACTGGCGGAGCGGAAGAATGTGGCGTGCACCCTAGGTGAAACTCGCCATGAGCATGGCATGACTCTGATGTGATGGCCATGCCTAGCTGGCCTAGCTGCTTCTGTCCATCTCGCGCCCTGAGCCTTGTGCCCAAAGGGCTAGCCCGGCCACGAACAACACGCTCCTAAGCTGTCTACGCGCATACATTGTGCACACTCATCCAGCATTCACTTCATGTCCATGTACACCTTTCATCTGTGTAGGGCCAGTATGCTCTTCCCTCATTTTCCCGATGCTACGTCCGCTTCCACATTCAAGCGAATGCTTGCAACTCTCTCGTTGATCCTGCCATGAATGGTGACGCCTTCGACCTGTACGGTGATGTTCCCAGAAGTTACTGATTGGGCTCTGGTCCATGAATTGCCAGCAGAGCCCCTCACAAAGCGCTTCCACAGATGACCTGCAGCCGGAGCCAGTCGACGCAAAGCCAGCTCCTCCGTCCCCTGCTCAGCTCACAACAGCTGCATGGTGACAAGAGCTCCTGTCTCTGCTCAGACCTGCTCAGAGAGGGAGAGCTAGAGGGCTAGAGAGGGAGCCCCATGCAGGACTCCCCCTTGGAGAAAGCCGGCCAAATTGGACGGGTGCTGAGTTGCTTCACCTCATTATCTAACATTATCTTCAGTAGCACTCCAAAGTGCTGGCGTCAGGAGGGGGCCAAGACAAGTGCGGACCTGAGCTTGTCTTGCATCATTGTATACACAAAGAAGGATAAGCCCAGTGCCCTGAAAATGCTGCACCACTGAACCTACTGGCTTGGCCACGCCACATGCAATGGAACGATTGTCAGGTCAAAAGCCTCAGTCAGGAGCGCAGGCTTTGCTGGAGCTGATGCCTGAGAGTCTCAAGAGTTAGATCGCCTGATAGTCAGACAGCAGATCCAAGCCCTGATCCAGGCTTCTCCGTGCCGAACTTGCATTGCTTGATGCCATCGGAGCTTGCGTGGAAAGATGCAAGAGACTTGCGTGGCCCTGCCAGATCTTTGAGGTGCTGGGGCAGAGGACTTTCTGGGAGAGGAGGACGACCAGCCGGTGGAAACTGAAGGTAAGCCATGCACAGCTTTCAAACCGGCAGTTTTTGGTAACATTTTAGCATCATTTTTGCAACCCCGAAATTCGACATGCACAATTTCCGTAAATTCAGTTGGCAAGAACTCGCAATATTCCGCATGGATTTCGCAACAATATGTATATTGGGTTTTGTGGTCTGTAGCTTGCCAATCATCGCATAAGTCCAAGGCCTAATCTGGAATTGAGTATTGTGTAAAGTGCAGAGCATCTGACAGGTCAGAAGCCAGAATGGCTGCACGAACCTGATCGCCTTGAGGTAGGCACCTGCTGAGCGAAATCGATCACATGCTATCCGAGCAAGGTACATGGTAACACCGAGCACAAGTCAGGTCGGTGATGATTCCACTGCGGAAGCGCCTCTGAAGAGACAGCGTGTTCAGGTTGGAGCAGCACGCTTGCTTCAGGTTGCTTCGTTGTGAGTTTTTCAGGGCTGTGGTATCTTGTTCCTTGCAGCGTGCGAAGCGATGATGGTGATCGGTGGAGTGTGTTGAAACTTGTTACGGCAAGTTGTGCAGCAAAAGGACATCTGCCTACTTGTCAGCTGCACGGCAGCAGGCTCCAGTCGGGAACGTGACAAAAAAACAACTGGTTGACCGTTTGTGTGACAAACCAGGTGCAGAGATGGATGTGCCATTTGAACACTCCGGCCCAACCCCAATGCCAGTTGGAACGGAAATGTCGCATTGCGAGCGCGCACGTTCGGCCCACTTGCCCTACTTCCTTTTTCGGAAGAGCCGATTGATTTTACCCACTTGCGTCACTTGCTGGTCCGAAAGAGCTAATCGGTTTTGCCCTACTTGCCCCGCTTGCCCCACATTATCTGGGCACCGTCCGGTTCTCTTCCATGTCATGATTTCTATGAAAATTTGACGTGAAAACACAACTCTCGCACCCTGCAAGCCCTACCCGTACTACACACCCCAACCCTAACATCCTGCCCGTGAGCAAGTCGGGCAAGTGAGGCAAGTTGGGGTAAGTGGGCGCAATTGCTGACAGACACGAGTCTGTCTCGCAATCAGCCAGACGTCAGGCAGACTTGTGGGCAGGCTGGGGGCCAGAGGCAAGGGGGGCAACTGGGGCAAGTGGGGCAAGTGAGGCAATGAGTGAGTCAAGTGGGTCAAGCAGGGCAAGTGGCAGAAATCGGTTAGTGGCGCAGATGGGTCAAGTAGGGCAAGTGGCACATATCAGTTTCCGATTCCAGACTGGGGCAAGTGGCAGAATCATTTAGCAGTTAGCGGTGCAGTTTGCAAGAGGCCATAAGCGGCCTGAAATGTCGGTACTTGATTCTTTTCAGTTGCTGGGCACGTCGCCAGGCGTTGCAGCCAGGCAGGCTTTGACAGCATGTGTGAAGTTGATCACCACAAGTTCGCCACGGTTCAGTGCAGGTTGCGATGACGACCCGGCAGTGAACGGCTTAGATGACGAGAGTGTACCTGCAAGCTCAGAATCTGACGAATGCGTACTCAGGCCGACAGCGACGGCTTCGATTTCGAGTTTGAAGCTGACCTTCAAAAGGCTACGAAGCGCGAAGCTTATTCTTGTAAAACCGTGACGATATGAGAAGCGGCTGGATGCTTCGAGGTCAAGGGCTGCCTCTGGTGGCGCTGACCTCGGTCACTCTTCGGCCACTGAAACAAGCCACTTCTGATATGCTCAGGCTCGGGTCTGCTTAGTGAAGACGGACTGAGCTGTACGCAGCTAGCAGTCACATCAACGACGGGATCCTGCAGCGTCTCAGCCTGAGAACGTTGCGTGTGGAAGCGCGGGCCCTGCGGGCCCTGCTGTTCGAAAGGCTTACAGACGCCCTAATTTTCTAAAGCCCTAAAAGCTTTGAAGGACCGGACCCTGGCTTGCTTTAATGTTGACCTAGTAATAATAACCCCCCCCCCTTCAATCAAACCCCCCCAAATAGAGTGGGGGGCCCCTTTGAATAAGGATTCCTTTCCTTAGAGAGAATTAGAGAGGATCAGAGAGAATCACTCAGGATTCCTTTCCTTAGAGAGAATTAGAGAGGGTCAGATCCCTAAACCCTAACCCTAAACCCTAAACCCTAAACCCTAAACCCTAAACCCTAAACCCTAAACCCTAAACCCTAAACCCTAAACCCTAAACCCTAATTCAATAAGACTCCACAAAACCCAAGTAAACCTAAGGCATGAACCCTAAACCTAATGAAACCATGAAGCGATCATTTGAAGATTTTTGTCAGGCAGGAATTTCCAGGAACTTTATTCGGAGGGGCAAATCTTTCAGGATTATTTCCAGGGCACCGGCCTCCAAAGCTACCCCCTTTGCCAGAAAGATTTTTTCAATCCTTTAGTAAGGCTCTCAAATAAAAATCAGCAAGTTTCTGAGGAGTTTGGTTTGCAGGTTTCTCTTCGAAATCTGATCGCTTCATGTTTTCCTAATTAAATCCTAAACCCTAAACCCTTAACCCTAATTAAACCCCAGACCCAAAACCCTAAACCCTAAGACTTTAATTGCAGGGGCCACCGGATTTAGAGACCAGGCCATACCCTTATCCCTAAACCCTAACCCTAACCCTAAACCCTAAACCCTTAACCCTAATTCAACAAGACTCCACGAAACCCAAGTAAACCTAAGGCATGAACCCTAAACCTAATGAAACCATGAAGCGATCATTTGAAGATTTTTTTCAGGCAGGAATTTCCAGGAACTTTATTCGGAGGGGCAAATCTTTCAGGATTATTTCCAGGGCACCGGCCTCCAAAGCTACCCCCTTTGCCAGAAAGATTTTTTCAATCCTTTAGTAAGGCTCTCAAATAAAATCAGCAAGTTTCTGAGGAGTTTGGTTTTCAGGTTTCTCTTCGAAATCTGATCGCTTCATGTTTTCCTAATTAAATCCTAAACCCTAAACCCTTAACCCTAATTAAACCCCAGACCCAAAACCCTAAACCGTAAGACTTTAATTGCAGGGGCCCCCGGATTTAGAGACCAGGCCATACCCTTATCCCTAAACCCTAACCCTAAACCCTAAACCCTTAACCCTAGTTCAACAAGACTCCACAAAACCCAAGTAAACCTAAGGCATGAACCCTAAACCGAATGAAACCATGAAACGATCATTTGAAGATTTTTTCAGGCAAGAATCTCCAGGAACTTTATTCGGAGGGGCAAATCTTTCAGGATTATTTCCAGGGCACCGGCCTCCAAAGCTACCCCCTTTGCCAGAAAGATTTTTTCAATCCTTTAGTAAGGCTCTCAAATAAAAATCAGCAAGTTTCTGAGGAGTTTGGTTTTCAGGTTTCTCTTCGAAATCTGATCGCTTCATGTTTTCCTAATTAAATCCTAAACCCTAAACCCTTAACCCTAATTAAACCCCAGACCCAAAACCCTAAACCCTAAGACTTTAATTGCAGGGGCCCCCGGGTTTAGAGACCAGGCCATACCCTTATCCCTAAACCCTAACCCTAACCCTAAACCCTAAACCCTTAACCCTAATTCAACAAGACTCCACAAAACCCAAGTAAACCTAAGGCATGAACCCTAAACCTAATGAAACCATGAAGCGATCATTTGAAGTTTTTTTCAGGCAGGAATTTCCAGGAACCATGCCCCGACTGGCGTACTTTATTTCCAGGGCTTTATTATTGCGGCCGGGACACCTGGCGTACTTTAATATTAGGGGCTTTAGTAATACTAGGTTGACATTACTTCGCTCTGAGGCTGCAGGCCCGTCACCGGGAGCTGGTTCATCGCAGTTGGGGCCTCGGTCCGCGGTGCTGCAAAAGAGGCCCGAGCAGATCAGATCCGAACAGCAAAGGGCTTTTAAGTCACAATCCACGGATTCCTGCATGAGACGACGGCGAATACGCGACCCAGACGATCTGAACTTTGATCTAACAGTTACGTAGCTCCTTGTCTTACTCGGCATTCATCTATTCCACATTCATTTCCACTGAGAGGTATATGTACAACTCGCGCACACAGTCCGCGGCCAAAGTGTCAGAGGCGTTTCCACGGCATTGCTCGAAGTAGCTCTGCCCGCAGGCGCTGTGAGAGCGGCACCCAATTCCGGATGCCAAAGGCTGATTGCGTTTCGAGTCGACAATCGATGCTGGATGTCCTGGGTCGTACGCAGGATGCAAGACGCGTCCAAGGCACGAACACGTGCATATGTCTGTATACTGTATGCTGTATAGAAGGTGCATGTCAGTCTTTTGCCTTTTGTTGCGCTGTTTGAGGCACCAGCGTGCCGCGGCGCAAGGTGCGAGTCCCAGCAAGGCAAAGTTTCTCTTTATCAGGAAAGCGGATCAACGCAGTCCATCGTGAGATGTCGAGAGGGCTGTAGCAAGCAGATTTGCACAAAGGTGAGGTTGTGCCGATTCTTCGCCGTCTCGGGACTTTGTAAGTGGGGCAACAGCCGTGGCCTTATTCTTAAGTTTGTTGTAACCAGGGCCACACCTCCTGGACCATCAGGTTGCTACTTCGCTCATGGCGAGGCCTGGCTTGCGGTAGCGCGGGCGTTTGCCATTGAGTCTGCCGATCATGACGAGACCTGACATGAGTTCGAGGCAGAACTCGTGCTGGGCAGCGACGCAGCGTCACAGCGCGAGCCACATCATACCCAATTAATCCCAATTCTGCAAGATTCGCTTGTGGCAGTTCAGCGGACATCCAGGATAGTGTTCAGACCCATGCGCCATATGCGCCGCCGAGGCAGCAGATCATATCCGAGTGCTCCTCTCGAGCTTGGGAGGATGCCCAAGGAGGCCAACGATGACATGGGATGACCGTAAGGGACGACAGAAGTCTTTGAGCGTCTACCAGAAACCATACACGGCCATGCGTGCAGGATGTTGTAGCTTTCCACAAGCCCTAGCCGTTCGGCTTGCCCTTCGATTTGAGGTGGGGAGTGTGTTGGTGGAATTGTGTCAAGATGTCCAGCATACAGCTACTGGGAAGGCTCAACCGCAGAACCTCCTGCCTGGTCCTGAGAGGTGTGCGTTCCTTGCCGTCGGACTTGCTGTGTGCATCTAGATATCACGGCATGTGCTTGCACGTGTAGAAACACGACACGCCAGTCACAAGGCCAACGATGGAAAAGACAGGCCTGCCGGTCTCTGGAGATGGAGCCCGTGCAGCAGCCAAGAGCCTAGACAAGCTGTCACACAGGCGATCCGTCCTAGTGCTGAGTCAAAAGCCAAGGTAAAAGTGCTGCTGAGGCCCGGTGCAAGGGAGAAGGAGTTAGTAGTTTTTGCAGGGAGTTGCAGGTCGTTGGGCTTGCAATGCCGTCCTAGTGTCGCATTTGGCTGTGGCTGCCGCATGCTGCCTGGATGGCTGGTCTGGAGGCTTTGTCATCCTGACAAGTGTGGTCATCCGGAGGCACATCATTCTTGACTGGCTGCGCTTGATGCTTGCCGGTCGAGACTTCGAGCTCGGCAGGCCAAGAAGGCCGTCCAGATCCTGGGACCCTTGCTGGCGAAGTGCAATTCCTGAGCTCAGTCTAGCTTCATTCACAAGTCAGCCTGATGTGCAAGATTCAGGTTCTGACGAAATGTGGAGGTATCTGGTAACAAAGATGTACACGCAGTCGCTTTATCTCGCATCGCTCGGTTTTTGACGCATCGAACCGCGTCCACATTGGGGAACTGCATTCCCCAGAAGTTGTCATCGATCGGCGTCCACATTGGGGAACTGCAATCTGCAGGGTATATCTCCTGCTGCATCGAAGTCGGCCTCGTCATTCACACAGCATCTACAATGTCTACGCGTCGATCGGCGTCCACATTGAGGAAGCTGCATTCCGCAGATTACATCTCTGGATATGTCGAAGTCGGCCTCGTGCAGGCTTCTACATGCCTTCGGGAGTTGCGAGTTAAGTAACGGACGATTGCCGGGGGTGGTCTCGGTCACCCTGATCACCGCCGCGACAACTCGACGACCAACCCTGAGGCAGTTTAGATTTAATAGAATTTGGGATACTAGCGATTAGCTTTTGAAAATACTCAAAAAACGTGCTGAAATGCTGGCGTCCGCAGCAGATCCGGCAATTTTACCCATGTTGGCTGTTTGTTTGAATTCCAACGTCTCCTTGGGGATTGCTGTGCCCTGCTGTTTATTTCCGCCATTGATATGTCCTCTCACGATATAATATCCATAATGGGGGTTGATATATATTTATCGTGACATGAGGATGATTCGGATTCATTCATAAGAGACTTCTGCTCCCAAAAGCACTAAATAAATATCGTCATTTAGAAGATTTTAGAACTTCTTTGCAGATAAGATCGCAATTTTTCCTTGAGATTATACGGTCTATCTCAATCTGAATTTTCTCCCCAGCATTAGGAATGAAATATGGGAAGTGGTAGGGGGTTTTCTGGATGAGCCTTTTGTGTGTCTCTCTTCTAATAATATTCTTCGTATTCCCGTCTTTTCTTTTGAGATTATGATGATATAGGAGATATCTACTCCCAAAAATTCCTTTTTATATTTAGAAGGCCATGTAATCGACTCATTGAAGAGCAAACGTGATGCGATATGGGCAACAAATATGGCGGCAATGATGACATTAACAACATAAGGACATTCATTTCATTTGCTAAATGACTAAATGACCAGACACGATCACGCGTTCATTATTGAGGGAATATCCCCATAAAAGGCTACGGGCTCGACCCCTATTTTCGCTCTGCGGCCGCCCTGTCGGATGCCCCGCCTCCTCTTCCGGTCCATTTGGCTGCTTGTGAGGGCCTTGCAGGGGAATCCTGAAAATTCCGGGAATTTTAACCCTTTTTGTCTAAAAATCCTGGGAATTTTGGGAATTACCCGGAGCTGAAAATCCCGGGAATTTTAGGAATTGTCCGGATTGAGGTTTGGGCTTTCCGGGTTGGATTTTAAGGTTCCAACACAACAATGATGACATGGGTGCCCTTTGAAAATTCCGGGAATTTTCGGGACCCGGGGATTTTTCGGTTAAGGTTTTGGGGTTTAATAGAAATGGTATAGGGTTTGTGTCGGCGTTTTGTCGAGTTGTGGGGGTTTTTGTTTTTTGTTGTAATGGTTTGGGTTTTGTCGGGCGTGGTGGGGGATGGATGGTTTTGGGGGTGCTGAGGGGCTTGGGCTGAGGGGTTGCGGTTGAGGGGTTGGGGCTGAAAGGCTGGGGTTTTGGGGGGTTTTGTTTTTTGTTGTAATGGTTTGGGTTTTGTGGGGTGTGGTGGGGGGTGGGTGGTTTTGGGGGGCTGAGGGGCTGGGTTTGAGGGTCTGCGGTTGAGGGGCTGGGGTTGAAAGGCTGGGGTTTTGGGGGGTTTGTTGTAATGGTTTGGATTTTGTCGGGCGTGGT